TATTTTGAAAAAGATATGTCAATTTTGGGAGGACCACCATCTTAACATTAACACGACCAATCAAGGAAAGAGGGAGAAGCTTCCATCGATCCATCATAGATTTAACTGATAATCATGGATTTGACTGATAAACTTGTGATACCCATGAAGATCTCAAACGAGATCAAGACAATTATTCTTATTGCCATATTGCCAGACAGGACACTGAAAAAAAATAAATTGACAAACTGATCAGCAAGAACCTCCCAGGTGGAGATGGACATGATGTTGTGAAAGAATAGCAGAACAAAAAGGACCAATCAGAACAGTAGGTAATACTCAGAGATTCTGGTTTGTACATCTAACTGTAGTCAGGAGGTTCTGCAGGGTTCTGTTTTTGGACCCATTTCTTTCCTTTTTCTACCAGAGAAAATTAAACTGAATATTTGTTGTTAAATATTCAATAATCAAAGCAGTCAATGACCCAAAATGAGAGAAAGTTTTTGGAGGGAAATAGAATCCATCCTTTCATTCTTATTTCTGAATCACAAGTCTATATACACCAAATTAAAATAAATATTTGCTATTTTTTCCAAACTTGTAGACAAATATGGATGCACCTTCATTTCTTTGCTCCCTTACAATCACTAAAATACATTTTATTTTATTCCCAAATGGCAGAATGTTGAGAGCAATCCCTGTTTTTCTCCTTTGTTTGGTAGGTATTTGGTACCCTTGTCTTTATATTGTGACTTGGGTAAAATAGTTTTGATGATGTTTTCAGGCCGAAAAGTTGTTTTCTTTTTCCCTGTGGCAGATACAGACAGGCGTGCACCCCCTTTTAGAGAGCATATTAAATGTTTGCTGCATACATTGTTGTATTAAGATTTACAGCCAGTAGCCGTCACCCGCGCCGACGTGGTGGTCGAGACACAGGCAGATATCTGAGCTTGACTTTGATCTGCTGAAAGCCCAGGTCTTGCGTTAATACAATGTGATTCACAATAATGGCGTCGAAGCAAGAAAAAGGAGGAGAAGGTGAAACGGGAGGCGATTTTATGCCAAACAAGAGAAAGAAGCAATAATCTCTCTTGCATCTCTAGTCCAGCCAAACAGGAAGATTAGTAGAAACCAACTCCATCACTATATAGTGTCAATCTATGCACATCTATATGATTTACCCTCTTACCACCCAGCATTGCTAGACTTTAAACTTCTTTCCTATTTACTTAAATCCTATAAAATATTCATTAGGGAAGAAAACAGATTTGGGTGTTTTATTAGATCAAAATTTTGTCCACTTTAAACAACCAAATAATTTTGTTACTGGTTCTGTAAACATCAGGAGGGATGTGAATCATTACGGGTTTATCAATACTAATACTTTTAACATTATTCCTTATTGATTGGACATTTTATCAAGAGAGGAATATCGCAATTTACAGATAAAACACAAAATTTTGGTTTTAAATGGTTATTGAGTCAGACGTGTGGCGGGTAATGTTTGTTTTATTGAAAGGTTTTTATCTTTTACTGTGTAAATGAGTTTGGCTGTCATTTAAGGACAGATTCTGATATATCTGCATTGTGGGGACTATAAATCTGATGCGTTACTGCTGTTAAAGCTCCTCAAAAATGTTATTAGCACCCAGAACAGCGGTTAGAGTTTTAGAAATATTTTCCAGGTTTTTTTTTTTTGTCAACTTTCACGGTTGCTGGAATTTGGCAGCGGGAATAATGGCTAACTAGTGGGGAGGAAACATGTGCATTCAAATGTAAGTTCCTGCATCTCTGTCTCACTGACAGAAAATCACAAGTTAGGAAAAAATTTAAAAAGACGTAATTAATCCCTCAACTGAAGGTCCTCTTTGAAATAGTTTGATTTGATCAGATACATGTAGATTTGTGTTAAATTAGGGGGAAAGGTTTGATTTCATATCGCCACAGAGCTACAGCAATGCACATGTGGCGTTACTGTGTTGCCATAGCAACGACTGCTTGAAACATGTAAATCTAAGTCAGACGACTAGTTGGTGACGATGTTCTTATTCACAAAAAGTCTCAGAATCATATTACTGTTTTATGTTACTGTTATGTAATACTAACATGAATTTGACAGGGGGGATCCATATTTTCTATCAACATACAATCATTAGGGATTGCAAGATTAGAGCAAAAATATGTAACCTTTCTAATCTCCTCAAAAATAATAGAAATACATTTATAAATCAGAGATGACAAAAATCAAATAATGATTATCTGAGGACCTGATTTTTTAAAAACATTTTTATTTTATTTTTACAGCAGGTAACTGAGGATTTGGATCATCTGTTTTTAACAATTGATGAAGAACAATCCATATAAAATATAAGGTTTTCATTTTTTTAAACTAATCATAAATGTGTTTACTCTGGCATTAATAAAGTGTTTCTAATAGCCTTACATTTATACAAGAGGTTGTGTTTTTTTTTAAATGAGCCCAAATTTCATTCATTGAAAGAACAAGTTAATACAGTTTTATGCATTTATGATTAATCTAATCTAAGAATACATATAAGCTGAACTTTTTTATACAGTTTTGTTTTTGACTGACTGCTCCTTTTCAATGTTTTTAAGTTATGCTCTTTTTGTTGTGCTCCATACATTGATCTTTTTTTAATATGTTTTTATTTATGGTACTTTCATAACAGATATAATCTTATACGTACTGCTTAAATGAAAAAAACAAACACTGTATTTACCAGCAGATCTCCTCCATCTACATCAAACTGTCATTTGTGTCTTTACTGTTTATCTCAGCTCATTTATAAACGTTGTTTTTTTCCTGATTGAATAAAGATCAAAATAGCTCTGCTGAATGTTTCTCCATTAGATGAGAAATAATCGGGCTGGAAACAGACAGTTTGATCATTGATCAAACCTACCTGAGCTAAAGGAGTCTCCTTCGGACTCACAGCACTATGAAGGTAGATTTGTTTCTTTATCATTCAATTAAAAAAAGGTTGCTTCAATCAAAAACTATATTTTCAATAAAAAAAACTTAGCTTCAATGAACAAAAAACTTCTCAATCAAAGAAAAAGGCATTTGAATGCAAAAATATATTTGAGATTCAAAAAATACATTTGAACACTACTACTCATTGATAGAAGTCCAGTCTTTTTTGTTTAAAGCATTTTTTTTAATTGAAGTAACATTGTTTTTTGATTGGACCATATAATGGGTAGGACATTTGTGTCTTTATTCTTCAATCAAAAAAGAAGTTTCTTCAAACAAACAAACAAACAAACAAACAAACAAAAGAATCAATAAAAAAGTAACTTTAATTAAAAGATAAGCGTTTTCAATAATAGAAAATGGTTTTTGAATGCAAAAAAATATATTTGAGACTCAAAAAAATGCATTTGAACACTTTTTTTTATTGTTGAAAATGTTGTCTTTGGTTGAAGTAATCTATTTAGCGTTTGGGCCATACATGGGTAGGACATTTGTGTCTTAATCATTCAATTCCCAAAAAGTTGTTTCAATCAAAAAACTGTGCAAATGCAAATGCCAAAAAAAAAGAAAACTACCCCATGAATAAAAAAGGATGGAAGAAAATGTGTTTTGCATTGTTGTTTTTTTTTTTTTGTAGTGAAAAAAATTTTGAAGTTCAAATTTTTTTGATTGAAAATTTTTGACACAAACATTCCACAGTGGGCGGCTGCTTCTCTATTTCTATTTTTTTCTTTAATTGATTTTTTTTTTTTTTTTTTTTGCAAACAACTTTTTGGGAATTGAATGATTAAGACACAAATGTCCTACCCATGTATAGCCCAAACACAAAATAGATTACTTCAACCAAAGAACAACAATAAAAAAAAGTCTCAAATATTTTATTTGCATTCAAAAACTATTTTCTATGATTGAGACCTTTATCTTTTCATTGAAGTTACTTTTTTATTGAATCTGTTGTTTGTTTGAAGCAACTTTTTTTTTGATTGAATAATAAAAACACATATGTCCTACCCATTACATGGTCCAATCAAAAAACAATGTTACTTTAATTAAAAAAGTTGATTAAACAAAAAAGACTGGACTTCTTCAACGACTAGAAGAACTGCTTTCATAAGGTTTGAGATGCAACAAATGTAAAGGGAAAACTTTTCTTCTGCTGTTTTTATGAATCTTTTTCTATGAAGATGCCCAACTTTATTGTTCACTGTAGATCTACATTACGATGGATTACATCCCACAGAGGAGAGTATAATCTAGAACTCTAAATATGAAAGATGGTTATAAACATCTCAGCATATGAAGCCTCTAAGCTGAAAAATCTATCGTGATGAAAGGTATCAGTTTGTATCAAAATAATAAGTCGAATAAGAGACTAATTTCATTATGATAATTGGAACAGTGAGGCTCCATGAATTTAGCAGAGAAATAAGATCAAAAAAGGAGAAAATACTATAAAAAGTCAGACTGAGGGAGATGATTAAAGACCATCGAGTAAAGGTTTAAAGGACTCCAACCAATAAACCAGCAGCTTCATTAAGAGTCAGATTACTGTCGATGGAAGATTTATTTATCCTCTCTTCAAAAATAGGAAAACACAAAGAAGAGTTTGTGAATAAAAGGATGACATTTTCTTATGTTTAATAGATTTATATCATTAAAATCAAGCAAATAGAGAATAAAGCGTTATTCCCAGAGAAAATTGTCATTATGTTGGAGGCTGATGCTGGAGCTCTAAAGTTACCTGGTTTGGTCTCATCTTTCCTCGTTTCTCTTCATAATAATCTTCAGTCCATCTGATCGTTTATTTCTCATTTCAAGTCTCCAACTTAACTCTATAATCTGATTTAAGGATCTTAATTCTTGTGTACTGAACACATTTTGCTGCAAGAACAAATAATTCCCCTTGAATAGACTTTAAAATAGTTTTGTTAGTCTATAAATCTCTGAATGGCTTAGCACCTTTTTATTTTCTTTAGTCCAACTGTTTTTAATGTTCTTTTTTTTTCTGCATTTTTTATTTCCTACTTGCTTTGATTCTGTTTTATTTTCCTATATTTTAATCATGTAAAGCACTTTGAATTGTCTTTGTACTGAATTGGTCTATACAAATAAATTTGCCTTGCCTTGTATTAAGTGTTGGACTAACATATACCTTCTATTAGTTTTGCCTGCTGTTCTCCTGACCCCATCGGTCACCCTGAGAAAACTCACACAGAAACAAGTCTCTTGTCCGCTTTTAAATTCATGTCCGGAATAAAATACAAAGCAGAAAAGTTTCATCCAATAAACTGTGAATTTTGTTAGTTTAATAGTTTCATGTCATCAAAGTAAAACAAAAACAAAGAATAGACATTTTAACCAACTTATGACCATTTTATACATCCTGGCACAATTTTGTTTCTTTAACATTAAAAATAAATTATGTTACATGTTACAAAATAAATATGAACAAATACTAAATGCTTGATGGATTGTAGACACATCTTCTTTTGAGTGAGTAGAGAATAAAAACCCAACAACCAGCAGACCAGAAGGAATTCCTTAAAATTGGTTTGGAAAAATCCGACTTACACGTTAAATTCTGACTCACCTCAGATCCAACTGGGATAACAGTAACTTTAGAACTGAAAGTATTCAGATCCATGTACATTTCTACAGCTGAAAACATGAAATAAGAGGTGTGGATGTTCATACAGATGGACGTCTAACCGCTGCAGCGGCTGTGGGTCTTCCTAAAGCAGCAGAGAAAACTCTGGGTAACCTGAGCCAGTTGTCTACAGCTCTTAGTGGTCTAAAATGTTGGATGGTTTAATAAGCATCCAGTTTGTTTTTCAGCCAGGAGAAAAACTTTCACCCACAGATTCCTCTACTGGCGGTGGCTAAATGTAGTGAGTGAATGAAACATTTACCATCCCTCAGTGAAGACTAAGTGTGAGCTCCACTCCCAGCTGTCCCCACTTCCTGCCTTCAATTCAGACATTAACATGTGAACATGTGTTTTACTCTGTTTGGCCGACAACTTAGAAACTATAGGAGCTGCTGCATGTATAAAAGTGCCGTATCGTCAGCATTGTCCCAAAAAAAGGCATGATAATTATTTACATCACTGTGAGGGGGTGGACTTAGTTTGATGAGGTATTGCTCTGAATTTCTGCCTTATAAACTAACCTGAGGTACAATGAAGCTTCCGATTACTTTCATTTCTTCTGACAAGTCAAATTACTGATGCCTCTTAAAGATTTATCTCAGAAATCACATAAAAATGGCTTCTCATCGATGCCTTTTATAGTGACGTAAAAGACTAGCTCTCGTTCTTAAATATTTCCCACAGGAATCACAACGGTAAGGCTTCTCTCCTGTGTGAGTTCTTCTGTGACATGTCAAATTACGATGCTCTTTGAAAGATTTATCGCATAAATCACAGGAATAAGGTGTCTCACCAGTGTGAGTTCTGTAGTGACGCAACAGATTAGCCCTCGTCCTGAAAAATTTATCACATGAATCACAAGGATAAGGTCTCTCACCAGTGTGAGTTCTAAGGTGACAAGTTAAATCATGTTTTTGTCGAAAAGATTTTTTACAAAACTTACAAGAAAAAGGTTTTTTGTCTGTGTGAGTCTGAAAGTGACAAGTTAAATCATTCCTTCTTGTAAAAGATTTTTCACACAACTTGCAGGTATACAGCCTCTTATCCTTGTGAGTTCTCTTGTGACATGCTAAATTACCCCCATCTCTAAAACATTTGTCACACTTATGGCAAGAATAAGGCTTCTCACCTGTGTGAGTTCTAAGGTGGGAAGTCAAATGTTGTCTTTGTCGAAAAGACTTCTCACATAAATCGCAACAATAAGGCTTCTCACCTGTGTGAGTTCTGTAGTGACTAGCCAAATGACTGCTGCGCCCAAAGGATTTATCACACAAATCGCAAGAAAAAGGCTTCTCACCTGTGTGAATTCTGGAGTGACATAACAGATTCGCCCTCGTCCTGAAAGATTTCTCGCATACATCACAAGGATAAGGCTTTTTAGCTGTGTGAGTTTGAAGGTGACGAGTCAAAGTACAACGTTGAATGAAGGACTTCTGGCATAATTTACAGGAATATAGCCCTTCACCTTTGTGACTTTGTCTATGACTGACCAAATCTCCGCTGTCCCTAAAAGTTTCACCACATATATCACATGGATACAGCTTTCCACCTGTATGAGCTCTTTTGTGTTTATCTAAACGACCTGTGTTTTTAAAATGTTTACTACAAACTGCAGAAGCAAATAATATCTCCCCTGTGTGGCTGCTAGTGTGAGCATCCAAGTGCGTACTGGTCCTGAACCATTCACCACATATTTTACACGAAGCTGAAGCTCCTTTATGTCTTTTTACTCTAGAACTGTCCACAGTGTCTGTGTGCTTCCTCAGGTCCTGATGTCTCTTCTCTGGCTGAAGGTCTTCAAAAGGAGATGTTCCATAGTCTTTCTGGTTCCCTCTTTGTTGATGTTGGTTCTCTGCTTCAGGGGAGTTTGCAGAGAAGACCTGGTTCTGGTTTGGTTCTGGTTCATGGGTGTCTGTGTGTTCTTCAGTAGGGTTCAAGATTAAAACGTCAGCTTCCTGTTTCACTACAAGACAATGCTTATCCTGACCTCTGCAGAGATTTTCATATTCCTCCTCGATCTTCACAGGTTCTGGTTCCTCTTCAATCTTCACAGGTTCTGGTTCCTCTTCAATCTTCATGGATTCTGGTTCCTCTTCAATCTTCATGGATTCTGGTTCCTCTTCAATCTTCATGGATTCTGGTTCCTCTTCAATCTTCATGGATTCTGGTTCCTCTTCAATCTTCATGGATTCTGGTTCCTCTTCAATCTTCACAAGTTCTGGTTCCTCTTCAATCTTCACAGGCTCTGGTTCCTCTTCAATCTTCATGGATTCTGGTTCCTCTTCAATCTTCACAGGTTCTGGTTCCTCTTCGATCTTTACAAGTTCTGGTTCCTCTTCAATCTTCACAAGTTCTGGTTCCTCTTCAATCTTCACAGGTTTTGTTCCTTCTTTTTTTCCATATTCCAGTTCCTCCTTTATCTTTACAATCGGGTTCAATTCTGATGCATAATGGAGTCTTCCAGAAGTCTCCATAGAGCTGTTGGTCTCCTGCGTCACTTGGAGCTGCTCTTCATCCTGAAAGATCCACAGCTCAATATGTTCTGGTCCAAGTGGTTGATGTTCTGGTTCCTCCTTGAACTCAATCATCAAATGTGGATCTGGTTCCTTCGGTTCTTCTTTCATTTCTCTACTGTTTGGTATCCTATGGTCCGGAACCGACTTCCTTTCTTCAGTAACGGGGAGCCAGTCCTGAACTTCCAACATGGGATCAGACATGAAACCCGCTGGAATGAAGAACAGAACAATATTAATGCAGGGTGTGGGCAGAGTTCATGTTCTGCTATATTTAACCAACTAACCCTTAATTCTTATTAGTTGAATTTATTCTGCTTATAGGTCATTTTTGTTTCCTTTATAAAATATGCCCTTTTATAAATATTTCATTTAAAAAAAGTATTAAACATGCTTAATATTTAAAATACCGGTAACGACTAGAGGTGATGCTAGTGTGGGACTGGGGAGTTTATTTACACTGATTCTTCTTCTCTACAATTATAGCGTTTAATGCAGACTCTAATCTCTCTAATTATCTCTGCAGGCCTGTTTAATCCAAACAAGCACTAAAAACATTAAAACAACGGTGTAAACTGAAAACCAGCGACACTGAGGGGAACATGGAAGAAAGCTGGTGCAGTGGTTCGGGACCTCAGGCCTCGTGTACAAAGACAGGCCCACAAAAAAAACATTCATACTTACTCAACATAAACTTATGTAAAAATAACACTTGATGTAAAGCTCAAACTATTCATTAGTTTGAGCTTTTATGGTTAAATCCTAATGTTCAGTGTTTAAACTAAATCATATTTAGACTGTAAATGTAAGCAAATCATCCCTAAAAATCCTGGAAGCTGCTTCAGCTGGATATAAACTATAGATGTTCTCTGTTATGATCCATAATCACATGTGCATAAACAGCTGCATAACTGTGGAAAGACAGGAGCTTAGCTGGTGGGAGCGTTACAGAGGCAAGATCTAGGAGGAGGAGTTCAGAGACTCCATCCTGCTGTGGGGACATGATGGAGGATTATTAGCTGGTTCTGATATGCAGACTCACCCTCTAACTGTCCAACAAGCTTCTCGGAGAATTTATTTATTATTATTATTTATTATGTATACTGACTCCATACCATCACATGCTACCACAAATGTGAAAGCATCACAAACATTCAAAAGTGACCACAGCATCAGCCAGAAACAGAGGTACTACGAAGTGGGGTTTTTTTGTCACTACCTGCAGAAACACTGTTTTATTTATTGTGTCTTGCTGATGTGAAACTGATTTTCAATCAGTGTTGCTTCCTAAGTGGTCAGTTTGATTTGACAGAAGCTTGATTTAATTAAAGTTATACTGTATTGTTTGTGTGTTCCTTGTATTTTTTTCAGCAGTGTGCATTATATCAACCAAATTGCAGACATATATACAATGATAAAAGCTTCAGCCACACCGTTCAGCCCTGCTGGGAAGATCTCACATTATTTTCTGAAACAATTATATTAATAATTAACTCGTTGAAGCCTAAAATTGATGATGGGTCCAGGAACACCGATGTGTCGGTGCATGCATGAAGCCCACACTGCATGAGTGCACGTGTTGTTTCAAGAAAGTAATGTAACTGATACAGGAGTGGTTTCTAACTGAATGACTCATTAAACTGTGTTAAAAAAAACTTCTGTCAACATGATGCATCTGCTAAAATTATGTCTCTTTTTTTTGGTTTATTATTAAAATGGTCAAGAATATCAGAGCAGCCTAAAAGGAGTAGGAACGGTTCAGCCGTTGCATTTTAAATTTTGTTTTTTCTCGTTTTATGATCCTTTTCCACTCAGTTATCACTCAACTTATCTGATGTAAAGATAATTTCAAATTGACTCTGTTTATTTACTTTATTTATTCTTTTAAAAATATGATTCAAAATCCTAGTCCACAAGCATCCTCAGTCACATTTTCATGTTATATGTTTCCTTTATTTATAGGCTGCATCTAAAAATATCAAAGATATTTTCAACATAGATATGAATTAACACAAGATAACTTACAATAACTTAAATGTTATCAATGTACTAGGGCTTCAAATCCATTTAGTTCAGTTTAGTCTGTGAAATAAGCTGTCTGTAGTGTCTCTAAATGTCCAGCAGGTGTCAGTATTATGTGAGACAGAATCAACGCAGCATCAATACAGTTTGGTTTTAGGGTGACCAGACGTCCCCGATTTCCGGGGACTGTCCCCGTTTTGGACCACCTGTCCCCGGCTAAAGCTGTCCCCGGAAATGTCCCCGATTTTACCGAGGCGAAAAATGTTGCGTGTAGACTGTTATTACAGTAGAGCTGTTGCGCGCAAAAATAGGTATTACGGTAGCTGGTTGCGCTGCTGATAACATCAAGATAAGGAACAGAGCGCACCACAATAAGGGCGGTAATGATCCTTTTGGATGTCAGCTGCCATTAAAAGACAAAGAGGAAGAAGAGCGCATCACTTTTAAAACAGAAGAAGAAGAAGAAGTGGAAGTTCGTTTTTTACAACCTGTGGCAACTGATGGGGAGCTACGCTGAGTGATGGTAAGTGTGTTAATCAATTTATTTTATTCTGATCGGGCTGATCTTGTGATAAATGTTTGGTTTATGTCCAGGTTAAAACAGTAATAAAAAGTAAGACAAGACAACGAGTTGAGCATGAGTAAAAGACGCTGGGTTAAAATGTAGCAAAATGATTGAAAACTCCTTGTAAGGCGCTAATCTGGTACACTGGTTCTCCAGGGATCAACAAGGGTTTGTATAAAGATGTTTTAGAATGGATAGGTGACCTTTAGTTTATATTTCAGATAGTTATTATAAGTAGAGTTATTTCAATTTGTTTTGATGATTTATGGTTGTGATTTATGAGCATAGACTTCCAGTTTTTGGTGTGCTTTTTTACTGCTCAGTTTGGATATATATGAAAGTTCCTTGTGAAAAAATAGGAGTCAGTAACAGGAGAACTGAATAAGACAATATCTACATGATTTGAGAATGATGGAGATAACCACCTGTTTAATGTTCATTTATTATGTGGTTTTTGCTTGTAGCTCCTAATATTGTGGTAATTAGCATTTTTAGTATTTAGATGAGATATTAATAATAATAAGTTTTCATGTTGCACATCCTAATTTTTTTGGAGGTGATTTTGATTATATAATGTCTCTGTTTTAGAATAATGTAAGATTGATGCTGGAGGAGTGAGGAAGAAGATAGAAAGACAGAAAGGAGATTGAATGAGAGAGGAGGAAACTAGGAACTCTGATAGAAAAAACGGTTGACAAGAAGGGAGAAAAATTTACTTTGAGGAGTAAAGCAGAGAGCAGGAAACATAAGAGGAAGCCTTAATGCACAATACAGAAGCTGGGAACAGAAGGAAATTATATATGTATATGTTATTGCTGTTTATAAATATGGACTATTCTTGGATTATATACATTGTGTTGATGTTAAGCCTATTCTGCTGTTCAATGGTTAAACTTGTTTAAGACATTTAAAAAGGTTATTTTGCTTTTTACTTGCTATGTCTTCTCTTATATTATTTTACCATAATTACCAGGGTCACTGCCTCAGACCCTGTTCAGTTAATATTTCTGTTTCAAACATTTAAAATGTATAATATGTATTAATAAAGTTCAAGTGATAAAGCGTTGACATGATTTGAGTGATAAACTAACATATTGAGTGATGTAGTGTGCAAAGTATGCTGTGGAACACAGAGTGGCTGTATACTCAGGTTAGTAGGAAAAATGAACCTGCTACTTTGAGACACACAGGCCCCTGATGGGGAACCAACTACCAGTTTTAGTCCGTGAGGCAGACACCCTGTCTACTTTTAAGGCTAGGCTTAAAACTTTCCTTTTTGATAAAGCTTATAGTTAGAGTGGCTCAGGTTATCCTGAGCTATCTCTATAGTTATGCTGCTATAGGTTCAGACTTCTGGAGGACATAGGGACCCCCATTTCATCATTCTGCTTCATTCTCTCTCTGTTCTCCTATTCTGCAGAATCTGTTAGTTCAATCTCTAACCTTCTGCTCTCTCTGCTTTTCCTCAGAGTAGCTTTGCCTCGTCTGTTCCTGTTTAGCTGTGACTCCATCCTGGAAAGAAACATCAGCTGTGCTGCTTCTATCAACACCCTTGTTTATAGATGTTGGAGATCGGCCTGTTTTCCAGTGTAGCCCTGTTTCTCTGACCGTGACTAACTGGATGTGCTCTCTTCGTCCTCTGGCATGGGAGCTGGCTCGGAGCTCGTCTGCCTGGCTGTGTGTTTCCTGGACGGGGCCGCCTTTTACAGTTGCTTTTTGTATCTCTGCTTCTGTCTCCTTGAACCCCAGTCTGCCTCGGCAGATGGCCGCTCACACTGAGCCTGGTTCTGCTGGAGGTTTCTTCCTGTTAAAAGGGAGTTTTTCCTCTCCACTGTCGCTATAAGCATGCTTAGTGTGAGGGATTGTATTTGAGTCAATGAGTCGATGCAATCAACTGGTTTTCCTTAGATAGAAAAATTTGTATCGATTTGACTGTATGATCTGGTTGAACTGTAAAGTGCCTTGAGATGACATGTGTTGTGAATTTGGCGCTATATAAATAAAATGAATTGAATTGAATTGATCTGGCTAGGTGACAGTAAGAAACATATATGAACCTTTACCTGCAGGCTTGACTACTATTTGTTTTTTTATGTTAATGAAGAAAAAAAATATTTCTTATAGGTATGTACAGTAGATGTAAACAGAATAAGTATTTGTTGCACTTATTTGAAGAGGTGGGGAAACTCTGTCTCAACAGACAGCCACAGGCATAGAATAAATGTTTGTATTTACTTTTCTAAATTTCTTTCCCTCATGTCACTCTCCCCTTAGGAGGCGGCAGAGCTCATTGGGCCCCCAAAATTGGAAAGCCCTGCTAATGACCCTTGACCCCTCCGCTCCCACCCCCACCACTTTGCCCCAACCCAGAGACACAGTTCTAGTTTTCTACTAATAACACTATTCATGTTATTAATCTTAGGATATACTAAACGTTTGGAAAGGCACATTCCTGGCTTTTACACTTGATTTTTGTTGTTTAAATATTAATAAATATGTAAAAATATATGAAACCATTACTGTCCCCGTTTCCTAATTTCATCTCGATAAGATGTATTGATTTTTATCCACGAGCAAGAAATGTCCCCAGATTTGATTTCAGAAATCTGGTCACCTTATTTAAGATGCCTCATTAACCTTCTCTAACATTCAGATTAACTTTTGCTGTTTTCAAAGCTGCTCGTTATTCTATTGATTCCTGTTTTATTATGAAAAAAAAAACAGCCAGCAGTTTACCTGCAGGATCTTTGCTCTTCGGGTTTTCCAGCTGATGATCGATGATTATGAATATTTTATCCGCGGCTGTTAGTTTCTCTCTGATTTATTCTTTCAGATGATGAATAAAATATAACCTGTTGCTGCAAACAGAAACCGTTTTTTAAACAACAAAAAGAAGATAACGCTGCAAGCGAAGTTTACTTCCGGTGGTGGGTGTCTCAGAGATTCTAGTCTGATACAGTAGCGAGCCTTTAGTTCCGCCTCCAGCTGCAGTTTTTCTGTGTTTTGAAATTTTTTTAATCAAATGGTTTTCAAACCTCAATGAAATCAGTAAAATCTAAAATAGAACCTAATACGCCAACATTTTAGAGAGATGAATATGATTCAACTATTTGCCATCAGTTGCCTTTCATTTAACAAAATGTGGAGATTAAGTTTTTCTATTTAAATGGTAGCTCTTGAGGCAGTAAATATTTTAAATAAGATAAAAGTTTAAACATGATTGAGTAAGGCACTTCTCTACAGTCCTCAAATACAGCTGCATAAAAAAATATATCAGAGCACATCTATCAGGGTTGATCGTAGTGATTAAAGGGCTTTTTCAAGAATAATTAATTGTTTTCTTTTTCTAAGGATTTCAAACAGTAAACGAGTCGAATCAGGAAGAATGAGCTTTCAAATTTCTCACATTTGTAATTGAAATTATCAGAGAAAATATGACAATCAGTTGTCCAATAAACTTGAGTTCTAAATGTTTAATGGTTTCAAGTAATCGAAAATAGCATACATTATTAAATTATGTTTAAAACAATACATAAAACAGTTCACACCAGTGATCAAAGTAAAGCTTTATTAAAAACAAAATGTAAAGCAATGAAATAAATACAGCCTCAAATACTGCAGCAAAAATCAGAGAATAAATCAGAAAAGCAATCAAGAAAAGGAAAACCTTCAGGTATTGATTTAAACCGTTCAGGAGAAGTTTGCATATTTCTATTCAGAGGAAGACTGATCCACAGACTGGGATCCAGTACTGAGACGTACAATATCCCACTATGTCCCACTAGCTTCTCATTGGGTGTGTTTGATTTCAGTGGCTGCATTTTTCATGGACCTGGTCTACACAGACGGTCCTTCAAGGTCCGTAAAAAATAAGGAGGCCAGAAGAGTTTGGTTATAGATTCAGGTCCAGCCTTCGCCCGCATTCATCGCTGTATGGTCTGGTGCCTAGCAACTGTGTTAGTTGACACACAAAGCTGGCAAAGAATGGATACCAAACTTCTTACTACTGTTCTGGGTGCTAATAACATTTTTTGTGGAGCTTCAGCAGCAGTGTGAATATCAGATTTATATTCCCCACACTGCAGAGATATTAGAATCTGAGCTTAAATGACAGCCAAACACATTTGGACATGGGCAGATAAAAAGCTTTCAATAAACCAAACTTTACCCGCCACATATCTGACTCAATAGATTGATAGACTTTATTGATCTCACAGTGGAGAAATTCTCTTGTCACATTGACTCAATAGTCAACTAGAAGTTGCCAAAAGGAGGAAAAGGTGCATGAGGTATAAACAGTATGAGCAGTGCGTCCACATATACATATATATAACAGCTGAAGTCTCTTATTTAACAGGATTATTGCACAGGGTTATTGCAAAGGCTATTAAATGGGTATTTATATAAATAGGTATTTATATATAGTTATTGCACAGGGTATTAAATATAAAAACAGGTTATTGCACATTAGTTATGCAGTTATAATAAACCACATCTGATGGCAGCCGGGATGAAAGACATGTGATAGCTCTTCTTTTTATTAAACAGGGTGCATAAGTCTTTCACTAAAGAAGCTGCTCAGCTCCTCTACAGGGTGGAAGGTGTTGTCCATGATGGATTTAACCTTCGACATCTTTGAAATATTTAGCAAATGTTTGATATTATGTCACCCAGCTCCCCAGAGCTACAGCCAAACACATGGGGTGTCAGAGTTGACTACGACTCCTTTACCATTGGATGGAAGAAGCTGTCCAATTCTTGTTTATACCCCACAACCTTCAATCAAGGCACCTTCCACAGCTGCTAGTGAGACTTCAATGGAAGTGATACTTGATAGTTAGCTAAACATGTTAAATTGGTGACCTGTTATGTTATTATTGTCTTGTTGCTGCATTTATTTTGTCAGGGAAAACTAATCCTGAGTTAGTTAAAAATCAGGGAATTCTGAAATAATGTCAGACTGTGGAAACCCTGAATAAAATAACTATGTATAATGATTCTCTAGAAAAGTCACATTGTATTAATAGTGTTATCTTGTATAAACATACCGTGACTCTAAAATAAAAGTTATTCATTTGTGACATTGACTTCTGTCTTGTGATTTATCTTAAGTTTTTAACCTGTCAAGTTTTTTTTTAGATTTTTAACATTACAATTTATATTTTTCCAAGCACACAACAGTTTAAAGCAAAGTTTAGTTTGAAAAGAATGTGCAGGAAGGATTGAAAAGCATGTTAACACGGTAATGTAGGCTTGAGTTCATTATCTGACGCATGCAGATACACACCAGGAACCTGGAAACTTAAAAAATACTGAATTACAAAAAACATTTAAAAAACAAACATGTTTCATTGATATATATACAAAAATTAATATTAGGAACTATATTTATCAAACATTATACTGGGCAAGTAAAAATAGTTTCTAGGCAAATGAAATGTGAAAGTCAAAAATCCTTAACGTCAACCCCTGGATGGGGTATTCAAATTCAGCAGCTGCGTCCACTGAAGGCCAGATTTGTCAGCCAATTACATCATAGCGCAGCGCTGGACTGTTCATATTAGAAGACTACTAGTTATGCAGCTGACAAATGCAGCGTTCTTTTTGCCAGTTTTGAAGGACAGGTCGGCTGTATCCTCTATAGCTTTGATTATCACCTGAATCATTGCACGGCCAAGCAAGCCGGCTGCTTCATGCTCAGAGGAAAAAGGAAAATGGTGCAAAACACTAGTGAAATTTGAAGGTGCAGTTTATTATAATACAAGTACATGAATAGTTCCGTCCAACATTAATGAAAGTCATTGTTTTAAATCTTTAGTAAGTCAAATATGTGGCAGGAAATGTTTGGTTTATTGAAAAGTTTTATCTGTCCCTGTGCAAATGGGTTTAGCTTACATTTAAGCACAGATTCCAATATCTCTGCAGTGTGGGGAGTATAAATCTTTACCAAGAACAGTAGTGAGTGTTCATCATTCAAGCCGGAGAAGGAATTTTATGCACTGGAGAATATGATCTACGTTAATTTGTGTGTTGACCCTCGGCAGGTTACAAAATAGATATAAACACAACTGAACAATACAGGATTCTGATCAGCATTTATTTTATAAATTATTACAGTTCAATGAATTTTTTTCAAAATTGTGATTTAAATGACTGCAGAAAGTCACCAAAACCTGTGGCTGCTGCACAATCCTCTGAGTGTCTCTGCCCTAGTCCCAGATTAGTGGAAAATTATGATGATGAACGTGAGATTTAATTTTGATCTTACGCTGCACTAACCCGCCTGCAGGTGCTTCAACGGCCATTTATAGTGTATTACCTGCACCTAAAGGGCTGGAATGGGACGGCAGCATCTGACTCATTAAATGTAATGTGACAAAACTCTAGTCCCTTTGCGATTGCAGATTTTATTTTTTCATATTGTGGTTAATATATTGTATATGCAATGAATTGCTTTGAGATCAAACAACAGAAGATAAAAGCTCTAATGAGTTTTTTGTGCTGCTGTCATATTTACACATCTATACTGTTAGATGGAAGCACAAGTAATCAAAGGCGTGAACATAGATCCATGCAGAGCTCTGACAGCTGCAGCAGATTTTTGCTCCTTCATCTATTTATAGTCTGAATGGAGCAGAAACGAGGCTGCAGCAGCCCTATGTCCTCCAGCAGCCCGAGGCTCCATCCACACAAAGATTAAATCACAAAGATATAGTTTTTTTAATCTGTGGATTTAAACAATGCAGGGTTTTGGAAGTGGATAAAATAATAATAAAAATCAGATGACTCTGCTTTCATGTTTCAGCCTGTTCATGAGAGCTGGATCATCTTTATAAATGCTCCAACTCTCTCTGTTGCTGCATGTTACCACTTTACCTCACATAACACTCTGCCCAGTGTTTGTGTCCCTGGTTTGGGTGTAATTCTGTGGCATTGTCACAATGCCACCAAAGGGCCCGGTGTTTGCACTACAGGGTCTTCATTGCAGATGATTTTTTCAGAGCCGTTGATAAAAATATTCCGCAGAAATAACATCTACAGACCTTTTACACATTTTGGAGACATTTCAACGAAAACAAATGCTCCATAGGAAGACCGTAGAGGCTCTTAGTGTCCATCTAAACCAGGAAGTTAGTGGCAGAGGCTTCCTTCTTGGACCAATTTGATGTGTTGGACGTTCTGAGCACCGACAGGCTGACCTACGCTGGCAGCACTCGAACATCTATATTTAGCAGAGGATCTTTGGATTTCACACATAACATGTTCAGCCAGCCTCCCCTGCAATGAGAGCCTATTCCTGGTAGATTCTCACCTGTAGCTCAGTTTAAGCAGTAGGTTATTCTTAAATCTTAGCACAGCCATACCGTTGAGTTCAAAGATGTGCAAAGATGTCCTGTTCAATGAGACATTGTTGAATGTTTAAATTATAATGGGTACAAGACTTTAATATTTAATTAAAGTAATATGAGGGCATATCACCCAGCCCTAATTATCATGCAGAGGTTTGCTCAATTTCACTGTCAGCAATTCAGACATTAACTGCTGTGCGAAAACACCTCGATTTTTTTTTTTTGAATTTATGCCTTTTGAACTAACTTGGACTACTTCCATGTGACTTCTTCTATGACGAGCCAAATTACTGCTGTGCCCAAACGATTTATCACACAAGTCACAAGAATAAGGCTTTCCACCTGCATGAGTCTGAAGGTGGCGAGTCAACTCACCGCTACGCATGAAAGTTTCCTCGCACAATTTACAGGGATACTGCCTCTGGTTTCTGTGAGTTCTCTTGTGACTAGCCAGGTTACTGCTGTCTCTAAAAGATTTTTCACACATGTTACAAGGATACGGTTTCTCCCCGGTGTGAGTTCTTCTGTGACTGGCCAGATTACTGAGGTCTCTAAACGATTTATCGCACATATCACAAGAGTATGGCTTCTCCCCGGTGTGAGTTCTACCATGACGAGTCAAATCGTGACTTTTTCGAAAAGACTTATTACAAACCTCACAAGAGTAAGGCTTCTCGCCCAAGTGGGTTTTTCTGTGACTCGCCAAGTTACTGCTGTATCTGTAGGATTTATCACATAAGTCACAGCTGTAGGGCTTCTCACCGGTGTGAGTCCGGAGGTGAGACGTCAATGTCTGACTGTGTCGAAAAGATTTCTCACACAACTGGCAGGAGTACGGCTTCTCCCCTGTGTGAGTTCTTCTGTGGCACGCCAAATTACTGAGGTCCTTAAAAGACTTATTGCACAAATCACAAGAATACGTCTTTTCACCGGTGTGAGTTTTAAGGTGATGGGTCAAATTGAGGCTTTGTTGAAAAGATTTAGCACAAAATGTACAGGAATAAGGTTTCTCATCTGCGTGAACTTCAAGATGACGAGTCAACGTAGCACGCTGCACAAAGGACTTGTTGCATAAGTCACAGGTATATGGCCTCTCACCTTTGTGAGTTTTCTTGTGGCGTGCCAAATCCCCCCGACCTCTAAACGATTCATCACACCAATCACAGAGAAAAACCTTGTGACCTGCGTGAGTTTTAAGGTGAACAGTCAAATGCTGTTTTTGACGAAAAGATTTACCGCACCGCTCACAACTGAAAGGCTTCTCACCAGTGTGAGTCCGATAGTGACGCACCAGAAGAGCCCTGCTTCTAAAAGATTTATCACACAAGTCACAAGAATAAGGTTTTTTTCTGTGTTTGTTTGGAGGAGCTGGAAGGATTAAAGGCATACAGAACCCTGCAGACGGACACGGCTGAACGGCCAAATCAGTACTCCCTTTGAACAGCTCCTCAGCCTCCTGCTTCAACTCAAACTGGTCGTCATCATCATTTTCCTCTTTAACCTTCACAGGTTCTCCTTCCTCCTTTATCTGCCATGGTTCTGGTCCACCGTAAGCAGGAGTCACCATGAAGCTGTCAGTCTCCTTCTTCACCAGAATCTGATCATCATCCTGATCGCTGCAGAGATGCTCCTCGTCCTCATCAATCATCACAGCTCCTGGTTCCTTTTTAATCGTCTCAGGTTCCAGTTGTTCTTCTTTAAGTTTCTCCTTCATTCCCATCATCGGATCCAGTTCTGATATATTATGCAGTACGTCCTGATGAGCTGGAACCACCTTAGAGATGCTGGTCTCCTGCTTCACCGATAGCTGACCTTCATCCTGAAGGATAAAAAGTTGAATCGGTTCCGGTTCCCCCTGTTCCTCTTTGATCCTTACAGGTTCCGTTTCTTCTTTTATCTCTCGGATCTGCAGTTCTGGACCATTGGGGAATGTTTCCCGGTGAACTAGCCCATTCTGCTTCATTAGAAGCTGGCCTTCATCTTGAAGGACCCACAGATCAACATATTCTGGTCCAGCTGGTCGAGGTTCTGGTTCCTCTTTTAGCAAAGTCGTATGCTGTGGTTCTGGTTCCTCCTGTTCTTTTAGTCCTGTAGCTCCTGGTATATTCCGGTCAGGAATGGAGTTCCTGTCTTCAGGTATGAGAAGATGGCCCCTGAGAACCTCCCAGGTGGTGACAGACATGTTTCTGCTGAGGGCCTGAGGCAGAGAAGAACAGGAGAACATTAAAGTCAAGAATGGATAAGTAATGTTCTAGCTCCACTTGATTAACCAGGAGAGTCGGTGTGCATCACAAACAGGTCAGAAATCAGGTTCATACAGATAATTCTTGTGTTCAAACTTGATTATTTCTGAAGATGTTTTAATATCCAATCCAGAGGTCATAATAGATGTGACGTAACTTTTATGTTTTTCTCCTGGTAAGGTAAAAAACTTCAAACTATTTTGTTTTGATTTGAAACCAACAAAGAAGGTTTTTATTTTTCTTTAATTCAACCAAAAAAAGTAAAGATATTTTTCCCCTAAATGAAAACTGATTGAACAGGTAATGAGCTTTAAATGTGTTTTTATATAATTTCATGGGCCCAGTTGTCTGACCCCGGAAACGTCAAGGGCCATGAAAACTAAAGGGGGAGGGGACATTTTTCTACACTCACAAACTTTTCATTTTATTCCGTGGAAATAAAGGGATAACTTTATCAACAATTAATGACAAATCCTGTAAAGACTGGAATCTGCCTTCGGTCCTTTTCTCAGGTCGTCCTGAGCATAAATCTACCCACTAACACGAGCAGCAATCTTCTCCGTCGTCATCTTCCTCTCCTTTGCAGCTGTAGGGCTCTTTCTCCATCTTTTAAACAAATTCAACTGTGTTTTTTTATTTCAGCAATAAAATTGGTACTTCCTGTTGCCTGATGTCATGGTGACTCGTTGCTCCACTGATGATGGCTCTTCCTACATATCATGCATGTGCTCAACTGTGAGTGGCCTACTTAGAATGGACTAAACTAATTCAGTTTTTATTAAACTGAAAACTCACAGTTCAGGACAGAAAACAGATAAAATAGTGATCGTCTTTGAGCCTCATAGAACAAAACGGGGACAGTAGAAAGTGCAGCTCATATCTCTCCTCTCTTTATGAAAAAAAAAATGACAGAAGAAAAAATAAAACACATTTAAAGTTCCATAATGTGCTTAGGGCAGCAGAAGCAGTGGCTTTACATGCAAAGTCTATGGTTGACGTGCATCAAGGAGTAACCGAAGGTTCTGCAGCGGATTTAGACCGGCAGGAGCAGCGCATCATTAGCTTGTGAGCATCTGAGATGCATCACGAGCTTCACAAGCAGTAGATGCTGGAGTTGGAAAAACATTTTTGCTGCTTTATGCGCCACATCAACCAATCAGAAAAGCTTATCTGGGAGCTGGCAGGGAGACAGACACAGCACTGCTGATGCAGAGCGGCATGATCACTCCTCTGAAACAGTTTATTAACGCTGGTGCCCACAGTTTGTACCACATAGCTGAAAAACGCTAACATCTACTTCCAGCCGCCACCAACAGTAGGGGAAAACCCCAAGAGGTGACCGGGCCTGAGGCAGCTGCTGCTGAGGATTCCCAGTACCACCGGTATGTGGGGGTCTGAGCGGCTCCAACAGAGAAATAATATTTGAAGGCAGCATCGTAATCCTGATGAACTGACTGCACAGACAATAGCTACGTTTACATGCGCAAAATTTCCCCGATCCGATCCAAACCTTGGTTGATCGGAAATTCAAAATCTCCGTTTACATGGACACTAAATGAAATGATCCGATCATGACGTGTGTATACATGTACCAAGCGTTGGATCAGATTAAATCTTTTAAGCATGCGCAGAACTTCCTGCCAAACTTGGCAGTTCTGTCTGCGTCTGGTTTTTGGGAGGCCTGACAAACGATGCGCTCGGAGCGAGCGGAAAGAAAAAAGGAGAGAGGAGGAAAAAAGCGCTTGGCAGCGAAATGTACGAGAGAAATAGAGAATGAGCGATTGAGCCGGCGTGGGAGAGCGAGTGGGCTGTGGAGAGAGAAAAGAGGAAGAGGAGGAGGATAAATTCCTGCTTCCTGCAGCTTTAAATGAACTTGAGTGTATAAGCCGGCGTTCCTAGACTCTCCCCGCCATGTTGTTCACAGCGAGAGCGAGAGCGACCGGTGGTTTCCTGTTGTTGACAAGGCGGAAAAACTTCACGCTGACGTCGCACACATGCGCAGTGAAGATTATTTTACTCTTCAGATCCGAATGGGTGTTTACATGGACGCCAATCGGAATGGCGATCAGCAAAAACCACCTCTCTCTTTCGGAATTAAATTTAGATCCGATCGGACCGAATCGGATTAGAATCTTCAGTCTGACATGTTTACATGAAACATTTTTGATCTGATCAAGCCTTCAATCCGATTAGTTGTGTCCATGTAAACGTAGCCAATGTTTTCAGGTGGACTTTCTCACTTAAAAATATATTAAAACTACTGTACTGACCCAAATATAGGACTACCCTGATTATAAGATGACTTTCCCCTTCTATGGACTTGTTTTTAGGAAGGAAACAAAACCCCACAAAGAAAAAAAAAGAAAAGTAATTTTATTTGGTTTACAGATACTATTTTATGTTGAAGTGCTAACAATTTTGTTGAAATAATATTGGATTAAAAGATTTGTGCAAATATACAATAAAAAGTAAATAAATAAAAAAAACAGTAATGACACATTTAACTGAAATCTTTATCTTACTTCAACTTAAATGAAATCTAAACTTTGCTCACCGAAAGTCTGAAAAACCTCCTCCTCTACCCTCTGCCTCGTTGTGGTCGCTGTCACTTCTACTCTCACCCCCCCCCTGCAGCTCTGATATATGTATATATATATATATATATATATATATATATATATATACATATATATATATATATATATATATATACATATATATATATATTCAGGAATCTGGAGAATATCAAACATGTTTGATTTTCTCCCGACCGTCGTGGGCAAAGAAGGATTCTTCTTTTCATTCCTCCTCTCAGATGTAAACACAGCAGCGTGGCGGGGATGCAATGAGTGAAATGCAGCTCCGTCTGCAAAATTGATGGACCGCAGCAGCCACGCCTGCTCAGCCACGTCCTTTTTCCAAATATGTCGTCCCCCTTTCTTTCTAGAACCCTCAGCACAAAATTGCCAAGGCAGCGCGGTTCACTATAGTGAGCTTAATATACCCCTTCTATTTGTTTGGCTCACTGCAGAGCTGAGTCCGACGTGATTTTTAGTCGTAGTGTGAGCAGGTAGATCGCATCAGAGCATCGGGCCGAACATAATCGTGAGCTGTGAACTCACACTGTAAAACTAAACCCTGTGTTTAGTCGTACGGTGTGAGCAGCAGATGAGTGCAATGATTGAAAAAAATTGCACAGTGTACGCCAGGCTTTAAAGAGCTGAAAGTGAACTATTTATAGGTGGCCATCTTGGATTCAAACACAGTTTATCTGAACCCTTTGTGTGCCTTCCCACTGAGCATGGTGTCTACAGCGGTGGACACACATGGTATCCCTACGCAGACTGCGTGGTCACCACTATGCTCTAATGGCATGCTACAGACCTGAGTGCCATCAGACCTAGCGTCCCCACATGGAGCAAGCGGCGATCACTGAAGTTAAAAAATATGAACATTTTCAATGAAATCGAGTTGTGGCACAATAAAAAAATTAAAAATAAAATCAGGAACCGGTTGTTTGTGACGTAGGTTTAAGACATTAAGACAAAGCTTTGTTCAGTCTGAATAGATTATAGAGGAAATAATAACAAAGGATGAAATAAGGAATGATCTGTAGAGGTTATCAGTTGACTTTAAAAAAAACATTTTAATTTAGCCCTAGTAGTTCTACTTTTAGAGCTTTTATTGTGAAGTCCCAACAGCAAGACCATCACAGGAAATGCTATGGGGTTGTCAGGGGTAACGACAGGTCCAAAGCAGAGGGTCTGGGAGGCTGGTGGTTTACTAAATATCAAACAATAATTCCAGCCACTAAATATGATAAACATGCCCCTTTTTCTAATCATTACCAGCATCGAAAATACATGTGATGTTATTCAATTCTTTTATGTCAGGAAACTAGAGCAGGACTAATGTCTGCTGGGACGGTGATGTCACCAGCTTTAATAAAAATCATTCACCAAATCAGTAGAAATGATTGTTTTATCTGCACAAATGAAGTAGCACTGAAAAGTAGGCTAGATAATTTTTATTCAATTCGAAACTTAATGGGGGTGATAGTTGACCTCTGGATCTAATCTAATCAAATGGATGACCTAAAAAATTATCTTTTAATATCTCTGAAACCAAAGGAGCAGAAATCACAACTTAACTGCACTAAGCTGCTCTAATGGAGTTCTAACCAATTAGTGTTATATTTTTTTCACACCAGTGAGGTGTCAGCTTCACACAGCTGACACTTCTATTACTTCCTGAACCTCAGCAGCTCCTTTGTTTCCCATCTTATTACAGGTCAAACTGACTAATCTAGGAGGATATGGCCACTGTTGTCATGGTTACTTCCTTTTGTGAATAAATGTGACATGCCAGCAGCATCTCAGGAGTTGGTCCACCAGGAAAATTAAAGTTTAAAACCAATGGCTCAATCCAAATACCTTAAACGTCATCAAAGCTACGGTGGAAGACAGTCGTCATATTAAATGCTACCTGAACAGTGCTAAATGTTAAGAAGGAGTCACAACCAGGAACATGTATTATTGGTAACTGGCTTAACGAGAAAAAGGGGCATCTATAGCCTGAATGTTTAAATTGCATGAAATGCTGGACATTGAACCGCAACGATTTATGCAGAGCCAAAACGTCAAACTTCTGCCAGTATCAGAATAAAACTTTATATTCTGTTTACAGGCAGTATTGGTTGCTTTGATGCCATGGAGATTACTGACTTTACATCTCTCATCTTTGCTGCTCACATTTCTGTAGAGGTCAGTTTTCAAAGAAACTGCATAAATCAGGATGTCAGGAATCTCTAACAAAAAGAGAAAAAATATAACTCTCAATCAATCTGATGGTTGAACAACTTAAATAGTTTATTAAAAACAATTCATTCACGTGCTGTTGTGCTCATAATTATTGGATCAGACCAAAAAAATAATTTTTTCATTAAAAGATGGTTTATTTTGTATATATGACGTTCATTTAAACTGTGATTAATTATTTACAGAGCCTGTAATTAAGTTGATTAAAGGTTTTAATCGCCTCCCACCACTAGTGATTATTTGAGAACAGTTTTAGCAAAAAAAGTAATGTAAATACCTTTAGAAGATGTGAAGATATGCAGGAAGACAACAATATCAAGTGGGTTCAGGCTGAAATGTTTTAGTTAAAGGTAAAAAATTGGAAGGAAATATATTTGCATTCCTGCTCCTTCTCTATTATCACTGCCTCCTCTGACAGCAATAGGTTTCGGTATAAATGAGCTTTAAAAAATGAAACCAATTTATTGTGAATACTCAACCTATTGGGATATGAAAAAAAAATTTATCGTTCTAACACTAAATACGTAAAAAGCAGAAAAATAGTAAAAAAAAGTTTCATGTAAGAAAAACAAAACCAACCAAGAAGTGAGCGCTGGATTTATAGATACTACTATAGATATAGTATTTTGAAAAGATATTTAAGATGAAGATGAACTTCCAGTTTCTTTGGTTCATTTAGAAACGAGGCGAATAATCATCCGCTGTATAAACTAGTCCCCTGTGGTAATCTGTTTTCCAGTTTCAATCAGAGCTCTGAACCGCGGACCTACCTGCAGGTTCTGGTCTGATCCGGATTTCCAGCTGATAGCCAGCAGTCTGACGATTTCAATATTTACTATGAACAGAAGATCACAACACAAACCATTTTCCTCTCTAGAAGAAACTGATCGCTCCCTAAATGTTGACGCTACCAGAATGGTATTGTTTATTTCCGCCGGATATCACTGGCGGACACTTAGAGAAACAGCTTCTCCAATTCAAGTTCCGTTTCTGATGTTCCTGACCGCTGATATAAACATATCGATCCCTTCCACCAATGGGAACCGACGTGATTTGGTGGCGTCATCTTGTGGCGTTCGACAGCTCCTCTCAGTGTAATGTTAGCAAGCACAGAATACATTTTGATCAACTGTAACTCGCTGAACATTGAACTAATTTTCAAATTTTTTTTATGAAAACAAACAAACTGTGTATTTAAATATTCTGAGTGGGGCTGAGAGTAATAGAGTATTCTGATAAGATGTATATGTGTTGCAAAGCACAGCCACTCATACATTTTTATAATTTATTACTACTGTATATCCAGAAACATATTTATTCAAGTATGTACAAATATACATACACATTTCGTTCATTATATATATATATATGTATATATATATATCTATATATATATATAGATATCTATATATATCTATATATATATATATATATCTATATATATCTATATATATCTATATATAGATATATATATATATCTATATATATATATATATATATCTATATATATATATATCTATATATCTATAGATATATATATATATCTATAGATATATATATATATCTATAGATATATATATCTATATATCTATAGATATATATATCTATATATCTATAGATATATATATATATATATATAGATATATATATATATATATCTATATCTATATATATATATATATATATATATATATATATATATATAGATATATATATATATATATAGATATCTATATATATATATCTATATCTATATATATCTATATATCTATATATATATCTATATATATATATATAGATATATATAAATAATAAAATTAAAATAATTAAAATAAAAAACTACCGGCGCATTTTATAAAGCAAGGCCCCCCCCTTAAAATTTGGAGGATGGTGGGAGAATTGAGAGGAACAGGAAAACACAGGAGAGAGGAGAATATTATGTCAAGACTTGGGCTGAATTCCACCTTTTTAACTATGAGGGGAGATAAACGACAATGGAACAGATTCTTCCTTACTGCAGAAAAGGAAAGCAGTTGTTGCTATGGCAACAAAGTGAAACCACATGTGCGAGGTTGTAGCTCTGAGGCACAGATTAAAATTACATTAATCTTTTTTGCTGGAGCCTTATCAGCCAAAGCCAAACGAAAGCATCCAAACATGTGGAATTGAAATGGAAGCTAAAGGAAACGACTTTCTGTTTCCAAGTGTGGCAGGAACCACACTTGAGTTGTGAATTTAACAAATTATAATAGTAACACTGTAATGTCTGGTTATCTGCTTATATATATATCCCTTTAACTGTTGAACTATTTTGAGCTTTTATCTTATGTTTTTGTATTGTTTATTTGTATATGTATGTACTTTATCAATCTTTTTGTAATATATTTGCCAATGTTTTCCTGGTTTTATCTATTCAATTTTTTATTAGTTCATTCTTTTTCTTCTGTCTATCACTGTGTGGTGTTGCCATTTTGGCTGTTTATTTGTTCCCCTTGTTTTTCTAGCATAAAGCGCTTTTCTGTAGGGCTCCAACTAACAAATATTTTAAAAACCAATAAATCTGTCAATTATTTTTTCAATTAATCATTTAACAATCGCATGGTCAAAGGTTCCTTAAAAAAGACTATTTACAAAATAAACCAGATGAAACTCAAACTTTTCGACTTGTTGAGTTCTTGTTAAAGCATACTGACAGATGAAGAAAAAAAGTTTTTGGCTTAAATGCAAAACAAAAAAAACTATTTTGGTATAATTACTCCTCTGAGTGGGTCACTCTGTCAGTTACAGACATGTTTTAGAGTCTCTACACTGCACTTAATGATTAATCAGTTGCTAGATGAACTGCTGGAGTGCTTTTTAGAGCCTCAAACCTTCCAAAGAAGTTGTTCAGATCCTTTAGGTAACACTGACTTCTTAAATGAAATGAAAAAGTTCTTTGGAAGGTTTGAGGCACTAAACAGCCTCCAGCAGTGAAAGCTGTTCCACACCAGGAGGAGGAGGCACTTAACCTGGACGTAGCTGAAGTGAAAAAAAAAAAAAGAGAGTCAATCCAAGGAAGGCCCCAGGGCCTGATAACATACCTGGGTGGCTGTATACGGAGTGTGCAGATCAGCTGGCTGGTGTCCTCACAGACATTTTTTACACCTCGCTGGACCGATCCTTAGTGCCAGCATGCTTTAAGTCTGCCACTATCATTCCAGTCCCAAAGAAACCTCAGGTCACCTCAGTAAATGATTACCAGCTTGTCACACTGACTCCAATCATGAAGTGCTTCCAAAGGCTGGGTAAAGAACACATCGTCTCCAGTCTGCCACCAACATTCGACCCTTTCCAGTTTGCCTACCGACGGAACCGCTCCACTGAGGACGCCATCTCTGCTGCTCTCCACCTGAGCCTGGCACACCTGGAGGAGAAGAACACCCACGTGCTGATGCTGTTCCTGGATTTCAGTTCAGCTTTCAGCACCATCATCCCACAGCATCTGATGGGCAAACTGGAACAGCTGGTCTTCAATACAGCCCTCCGCAATCGGCTAATAGATTTCCTCACCTACAGACCTTAGTCCATCCGGGTCGGACAGAACACCTCTGATGTCATCATCCTAAGCACAGGCTTCCCTCAGGGCTGCGTCCTGAGCCCCCTGCTGTTGATGACGTAATAAACATGCCGCTTTGTTTTAAAAAAATACAAATATAAAAAATATAACTGCGGATGTCTGGGGGACATGTTCTGAATACTGGCAAACCATAAAGAATAAATTATGAACAGTTTAGTTTGTGCCTTCAAGTCGTTGCTCATAGGAAGACGTTACTTGGATATAACCTAACGGAATATCTTCAGAACAGCTCCAAATTACACAAAACTCATATCGGTGAGTAGAACATGATGTGATAACGTAAAATCAAGGGCCCAATGTGAAATGGTTTGGCTGTCATTTAAGGAGAGATTCTAATATATCGGCAGTGTTGGGGACTATAAATCCGATACGGTACTGCTGTTGAAATTCCTCAAAAATGCTTACAGCCCCCAGAATAACAGTTAGAAGTGATGGAGGGTTATTGTCACTGGATGATTTAAATAATAAATATAATGCCTAATTCTCATCCTATGAATATAGAAAAATTATAAATTTTATATCACAAAAAACATTGATGAATTTAGTTTAAGGTCACCTTAGTACATTCCATTTCCTAAACTTAAAAATACCTTTATTGAAGGATTTAATACATGAATAATGCAAAAACAGCTTTTTTTAAAAAGCGTCTACAAATATCTTATATCACAATCCAAAGACTTTTTCTTTTAAAATAATTCTCCAAACTTTATATCCGTGCATTGAGAAGCAAATATCTTAAACCTTTTTTTCCACCTAAATACAAAAAGATTAATCTAAAAAAATATGAAATTTTTCCTTCCAGCCGTTTCATATGCTCCAAATTTAAATTCAAAGTAGAAGAAAGTCTTCTATGTGAGTAAGAGGAGGAATGAACAGAATTGTTTTTTTTTTTATTGTAGTAAAACCCAAATATTATTTTCCTCATTTCATAACTTAACTCTTTAAATTAGGGATGCACGATATAATCGGCCCCCTATCGGTATCGGCCTATATCGGCCTTAAAACTGAATATCGGACATCGGCCAACCCACCGATATTTAACCCGATATTTGATCAGCTTCTGAGTTTCTAAAGTCTAAAAAAAAAAAATAATATTACTTCTTCTTCTTCCTCAAAAACTTCTTTTTTACAGACTTAAAAACTTCTAAAGACGAGGGAAAAATATTAATACATTAAAATATCACAATATCTTCATATGCTGATATATTGCCATTTAAAAACACCATATCAATCTCTTTTACCAATGAAATATTGCTATATGTCATCGTTATGCTACGAAATCCCCCGAAAATTCACGAAATTTTGCCATATTTTTATATGTTGATATATTGACGCGGTATCGATCTATTTTACTAACAAAATCACACAAGAATTTGCAAAATATCACGAGAGTTTGTAACAGAACGATGAAATTTCACGAGATTTTGAAAGTAAAATAGATCGACCGCGTTTTTAATAATCAATTTGATATCAGCATATAAAAATATATTTGAGGAAATTATTTTTCAAAGTGTCAGAAATGGATAACAAAACTGCTATTTTCAATGACTGCTTATTTTTGTCCAGCTTTAATATCGGTATCGGTTATCGGCTACATGAGTTTTAAAATATCGGCATATCGGATATCGGCCAAAATCCCAATATCGTGCATTCCTACTTTAAATCCTTAAATATATTATTTTCTCTCCCCATTTGCAGTGAAACTTGATATTATTTCCCAAGATAAATCTACAAATGAAATAAATATACCTACTTTGTCCTTAAAGAAAATGTCTACCACAGAGGCTAAAAGAAATGGCCCAGTCCCATTTCTCTCTCTTGCACTCATTTTGGGCCTTAGCACTCGGTTTTGCGCATTCATGTGTAAAGGTAATGTGTCCCAATAGTTATAGGAAGTGCCCTACAACCCTTAAAATGATCCCTTCAGACCGAGTGAGGTCAATAGTTGACTTGGAACGAAGAGGCTTCCCAGAACACTTTGCGAACTCATTCAGCAAAAGAAAAATGCCATCTTACCGTTGAAAAGAACTTCAAAAACGTAAGTATCTTTTTACCTTTAACCACCACCATTTTTTTTTTAAATAAGTCGCAATATCTTAGTTAAATATAAATACAACCAAATTCTGTACCGTTGTGTTAAAACATGAATATTGCAAAAGTGAGATTTTTTTATAATACACAAAACTACCAAGTTGTTTTTTGTTTTGTTTTTTTACGTAAAGTAGGATGATTATGCATGACAGCTTTTAGCAAAATCCCATTATCACCATTTACCTGTAAATGGTATAATGTTATGAATAATTGTCATTGCTCTTGTTCACACGGTAACTGTTATAAGGCAGGATTTTTTTAGGTTTATGAATAATATCTACATAGTTCTTGGGCCAATCCATATATATATTAAAAAAAATAAAACTATGTCCAATGTCTTCTCTGTCAGCACAATGAGTTATCACTCTCAAAGAATTACCAAGAACAACATTTGTGATTTTATTATTCTTTTTTATTTCCTTCAAAAAGTTCAGTCTCACATAGTGTATTGCAGCGGTCCCCAACCTTTTTTTTTCACCACGGACCGCTTTATGTCAGACAATATTTTCACGGACCGGCCGGGGGGGGGGAATACGATCAAGTAACATGATACGACTGGCATAGAATCAAATACAAACAGCATAAAAATAAAACAACAAGCCAGTCCCATCTAGGTGTAATCGCAGACAATGACACACGAAGTGTGCTCCTGATGTCCAGTCTGCTCCGTAGCTTTGTTTTGGTCGCTGTAACCGCAGAAAATCCCGCCTCACAAAGATAGGATGTTGTAGATAGGATGAGTCTTGAACTGAATTAACCTGTGTCAAGAGGCACAAATGGACCGACTGATGTAATTGGGAGAGAATACCGCAATTTTTTATATTTTTCAAAATAAAACATCACTCAGACTCTGATCGTCGATAAATAATATATATATATGTATATATATATATATATATATATATATATATATATATATATATATATATATATATATATATATATATATATATATATATATATATATATATATATACACATACACTTTTTTTTGTGCGGCCCGCTACCAAATGACTGATGGACCCGTACTGGTCCGCGGCCCCGTGGTTGGGGACCACTGGTGTATTGGACCCTGCCCTCCACCAAAAAAAAGTATTCTAGAATGTGAACGCAACATGTTGTGTCTAATCTTGTCAGCTTATGCGGAGTGTGGAACAATCCAAGGCCCTAATAAAGTTTAGAGCAGAAAATGAGGAGCAGTTCACCAAGAACTACAAAGCAATTCTGGGAGTGAGTAGTCTTACCTGCTGTTTTAACAATCCCATTCTGATCATGCATTTACCCATCCTAATGTTCATCACTGTAGGACAGCAGTCAAAGAGCTTGGCCTTACAGGGAAAATCACTGGCCGCAAAATTGCTGCCACAGGCAGCAAAAAAAGCAGGAGCCGAGTCCATTTTCCACCACTGTACCCCCACCAACACTGATGCCATCCACAGCAGCACGCCCTTCTGTCCTTCAACACCAGCTGTTCAAGCCCTCCTCACCCAATCTCCCAGAAAGAGGGCAAGAACAAAACAATAATGGACTTCTTAAATTTCTTCAAACGAGAGTCGGAGAAGGAGCAAAAAAGGCACAAGGAAAATGAAGCCAAAACTGAGAGGTCCCTCTGCCTGTTTACAAAGCTTGAAGAAATGCAGTGAGAGCTGTTTCTGTTTACCTTTTAATGTACAATCAGTTTCAGCTTGTTTGGATGATTTTTGTTTTTTCCCAGTTTATTTGAAATACTGTTCCATATTTGTTATATAGTTTATGTTATTCTTTTGTAAAATGTGAGTTCAGCTTCCCGAATACAAATATTTTTATAAATCAAATTGCTTGGTTGTTGTTTTTTTGACTAAGCATCACCAATTCATACAGTATGACACATTATAAAACGAACTACAAAGCTATTGCACATAATATAGAACTTTAATATAATGTATTAAAAATATAACAGCTCAACAATATAGACCATAAATAGTAATTATATACAAATTCTCATAACACATATCAAATATGTGCCTGAACTTAACTATTTACAGGATTTGCCTGCGTGGTTATTGAATATAAACCTTTATAATTTAAATAGTCTGTAGGCGCTGCCTTGCTGGGGCGGTCTGGAACAAAGGGGGTGGGGCGGCTAAGCAGGATGCACAAATTTAAGAGTAAGTGACAGTCATTCTCCCCACATGTCCATCACAATTTGTTGATCGTGGAGATATTTGATAGACAAAAACTTAAAATATACTAGATGCTTATATCTGAAAATCCCGACCAGAAGAAGTCGGTAATTGTCCGATCAGGGTAGTAACAAACATTCCAAGGTGCAAAGTGAGGAAAAAGCAGAGCGCTGTGTTGACCTCAGGGACACGTCAACCATTAAACCAACCTTAAGCTGCTACTTATACCAGCAGCAAAGACAGAGACTCTCCCAGCTGACAGGCTATTATGCTACTACGTAGCTTGCTTTTCCAGGTAACGGCCTGCAGAACCTTTAAAGACTAACAATAATAGACAGCCTGCTGCCTCTTAAAAATTTACCGCTCACTATTCTACGTATGACAGCTTATTAAATATTTATATCAGAAGAGTATACCAGATGAACCAGTATGGTGGCCGCATCTAAAAGATATGATAATAAATTAACATGATTTAAGTGGCATAATCTTTTGGTGTAGTTTCTCTGGTTAAGGTCTTCAGATAATAGTTGAGGTAAATTGTTACCATATAAACTAACTTGAACAGCTTTTAAGTTTTTTTATTCGTGTGAGTCTTTCTGTGACAAGCCAAATTACTGCTGTTTCTAAAAAACTTCTCACACATGTCACAAGGATATGGTTTTTCACCTGTGTGCGTTCTCCTGTGACTAGCCAAATGGCTGTTGTTGCTAAAAGATTTATCGCACAAATCACAAGGATAAGGCCTCTCATTTGCGTGAGTTTTAAGGTGACAATTCAAAACGTGACTTCGTGTAAAAGATTTCCCGCACAGCCGACAGGTAAACGGCCTGTTTTCTATGTGAGTTTTCTTGTGACTAGCCAAATTACTGGAGTCTGTAAATGATTTATCACACAAGTCACAAGGATAAGGCTTTTCACCGGTGTGAATCCTGTAATGAAGAACTAGATTAGCCCTCCTTTTAAAAGCTTTATCACACAAGTCACAGCAATAAGGTTTCTCGCCTGTGTGAGTTTTAAGGTGATAGGTCAAATTTTGACTTTGTTGAAATGATTTGTTGCAGAAGTCACAGGAATAGGGTTTCTCCCCAGTGTGAGTCCTGAGGTGGCGCACCAGGTTAGTCCTGGTTATAAAAGATTTATCGCACACGTCACAAGAATAAGGCTTGTTACCTGTGTGGATTCTCATGTGAGCGGGCAAATAGTTACGCGACATAAAACATTTACCACATATTTCACATGAAACAGAACCTGCTTTGGGTTGTTTGACCTTGAAATCGTCCACTTTAGGCCTTTTGTCTCTGGAGTGCTGATTGGTCATCTGTGGATGAAGATCTTCATCTCTACTTGAACCCAACCCTTTCTGGTCGCCTCCCTGTTGATGCTGGTTCTCAGCTTCAGTGAATTCCCCCGTCAGGATGCGGATAGGGTTTGGTTCGGGCCCACAGTCGTCTTTTTTTTCCTCAGTAAGTGTCACCATAACGCTGTCGGTCTCCTGCTTCACTGCAAGCTGATCTTCATCCTGATCTCTGTAGTGATCCTCCTCTTCATCTTTGAACTTTGCAGGCACTTCTTGTTCCTCTTTCGTTTCGAATTCCTTCTTCATCTCAGTCATCTGATCCGGTTCTGGTCCATTATGAAATATTTCCCTATAAGCAGCAGGTCCCATCGAGGCATTGGTCTCCTGCTTGATTAGGAGCTGTCTTTCATCCTGTAGGATCCACAGATCAACATGTTCTGGTCCAAATGGTTGAGCTTCTGGTTCGTCTTTTGGCTCATTCATCTGCTGTGGTTCTGGTTCTTCTATTCTATTCTGTGCTTCTTCTATTCCTGTAATGTTTGACATCTGGTAGTCAAGAATAGAGTTCCTCTCCTCAGGGATTAGAAGATGGTCTCGAATCACCCAGGTGGTTACAGACATGGCTCTGTAGAAGGTCTGGGAAATGAAGAACAGGAGAACATTGATACGGTGAACAGATGGGGTTCTGTTTATCTGCTGTGAAGACCAACACACACATGCAGCAAGTTTTTGGTCAGCAGGTCTCACTGCTGTTTCCATTGTCAATGGAACCAAAATGATGTGAAGCTGAGAACTTTCCATGTTTCATGCAGTCATTCTTAGAAACATTAATAAGTGTTTCAGCCATGAATGTTATTTAATCTAGAGATTGACTGATACAGTTTTTTTTAAATCAGATTATTTTGATATAAGTTAATCGATCCCTGATATCCGTTGCCAATTTTGGCAATATTTTTTTCAGATACATATGATAATAAAAGTTATGGAGCAGCTGAACTGAAACTGAATTTCCATTGTGGGATTAATACAGTCTCTCCTAACTGGAAGTTTGTTATACAAGTCTCAACTTCATAAACATTTTTTAACAAATCTAATCAAACACTAAAGAGTGAATTTTTAAAAAGAGGGATTGGCAATACTTTGTGTGGAAAAGAAGTTGCACAGTGACAATCCAGGCGGGGTCCTCGCCAGCGTAATGCTGGAGCATAACGAGCCTCCAAGCTACACTGAAATCGAGTCCCTTTGACATCTGGGCTTCATGTCCAGCGGAGTTCAACAAATATGCTGGTGAGGCTGTGACTCTTAAAGGTACATTGGAATTATGCGGATATGCTAACTTGTAATTCAGGTGTTTTCAAATATATTTCCTCATTATTGCTCAGAAACATGAAGGAAACCCTGTGAAAACGGGAACCCAGCTCACCGAGGCAGGCGGAACCATTAATGCGACAGATATGCAGCCCTGGGCATAATAAAAATTTCCACATAATCATGCTAGCTATGTTAACTTACCTTAAAGGAATAGTACACCCAAAACATGATTAGCCTTCATTTTCTACTCACCCCAATGCTGAACAACACTCTGGAGTACTTTTTGATATCTCAAATGCATCTGGAGATCTGGGAGGCTTCTTGCTGTCTGCTGACATTCAAATAATGGAGGTCTATGGCGCCCGAGGCAGAAAGGTCCATAAAAGTCAACAAAAAACGTGTCAATATTCCTCCATACTGCTCGTCCAATGTATTCCAAGTGTCCTGAGTGGATAGTGTCCATAATTTACTCGAAACGAAGTCATTTAGAATGTTTTTAGAGCATAAACAGTAGTGTATAGGATTTCCTAAAAGCGCGTTCACGAGACTACGGAAACCGCGGCAGACCAAACCAGATGAAAGTGCGCATTCAGCGTCTGCTCTGCCAATAATGCAAGCGTAGAAGAAGAAATGTGCTGTTTACCTGTGCAAAGAAAGAAACAACGAAAGAAAAATGTCTGAGGACTTCAGTGTTGAGGAAGAGCAGGAGTTCTGTGCCGAGCTGAATGCGCACTTTCATCTGGTTTGGTCTGCCGCGGTTTCCGTAGACTCGTGAACGCGCTTTTAGGAAATCCTATACACTACTGTTGATGCTCTAAAAACATTCTAAATGACTTCGTTTCGAGTAAATTATGGACGCTACCCACTCAGGACACTTGGAATACATTGGACGAGCAGTATGGAGGAATATTGACACGTTTTTTGTGGACTTTTATGGACCTTTCTGCCTCGGGCACCATAGACCTCCATTATTTGAATGTCAGCAGACAGCAAGAAGCCTCCCAGATATCCAGATGCATTTGAGATATCAAAAAAGTACTCCAGAGTGTTGTTCAGCATGGGGGTGAGTAGAAAATGAAGGCTAATCATGTTTTGGGTGTACTATTCCTTTAAGGCTCACCATTCAACACCAGAACTATTTTCAACAAATCGGCCTTTAGTGGCAGTGTAGGGCCCTATAAAATCAGTTTTGTTTTTTCCCCAATTCCGTTTAATTTTTTCCCAAATTCCGTTTTTTCCGTTTTAATTTTTGAAAATTCCACTTTTTCCATTTTATATATGTATTTTTGTGCTTCCAATCAATGGAATGTTGACAAAACTTGCAAAACAATAGTTCATCTGACACGTAAAAGTCACAAGGGAACTGCTCGGCTCTGTACTCAGGGCTTAGCGTCGTGTTTCTCAACTTTTTCACCAAAAGCAGAGCTGTGGAGAGCCACTTCGCCATTCTTTCAATGTTTTGATGGGGGAGGGTGAGCGGAAATGACGGAGTGGGAGGGATTGTGTCCCAGATTTGCGTCCCCCCGGTGTGCATTTCCCCCCGACGTACGTTCTTCTCCCACACAAAAACAGATTTTAATTTCAAATGTAGAAATTCTGCGTTTACACTAGATTCCGCATTAATTTGCCAATTCCACGATTCCATGATCGCGGAAATTATAGGGCCCTAGCAGTGGGAACGGCTCACTGACATCTGTCTACCTGGGTCAGAGGACTGGGCAAGTGACCCGTGTTAAAGTCGCCTGCCCAGCACTTTATGTAGAGCTTCTATAGTGTAAAAACTATTTCAGATTTCAATTTTGACAAAAATCATGGAACATTGAGGAAGCTTTTTGACCACTTTTCCCATTGCTGGAAAAAAGAGAAACTTGTAATTCTCTGTGTTTTCCTTTATATTAAAGCAGACAGACTTATGATACAATTAATTTATAATATCGTAATAAAAAAATAGTCCATAATAATAGCAATCACACTTTTTCATCAAAACTTGCAGCACTAGTGGGGTCCTTCAAATAGGGCTGTCGCGGTTAAGGAATTCCACCCTGCGATTATTCAAGGAGGCTAAATATTGAAATATGCAATATTATTGCACCATCTTTTTTTTATTCTAATCTATTAATCTAAATTAATTACTAACTACATGGGAAAATTTCCTTTGAAACAGGGCACTTTAACATTAAAAAAAGGTTATAAAAAGACATGGCAATTTTATAACACTTTATTGAACGCAGCTCAAAGGGCAGTAATGGCACAGATATGCCTCATTTCTCCGACTGAACTTAACAAAAACAAAATTCAGAAGAAGGCTGAACTTTTAAAGGCAAATTTGACTGCAGCATCTTTATGAAAAAAAAACAGGTGCCCGTTTTGTTGTTTTTTTTGCTTTGGTGCGCCTGTTCGAGATTACCGTATTTTCACGACTATAAGGCGCATATAAACGTCTTTTTTTTCCCTCAAAATGTGCGACGCGCCCCATAATGCGGTGTGCCCTATGTGTTACTGCGGACGTTGTTGAGACCGCCATGAGAACGTTAAAGGGGGAAGTGTGGACGTGGATTGTGTATAAAAGAACAGATATGTGCTTTATGCAGAACATTGTTGTCCTAACAACCCCTGAAAATGGCAAAGAGACACACCTATAAAGCACAGTTTAAACTGAAGGCTATTAGCTACGCAGAGGAACATGGAAATCGAGCGGAAGAAATGAAAATCGAACATTTTCAAGGAGGTCCGTCGTGGTGCTTTCGTTTTACGAAACGGTGCAATTTTTCCATCCGGACCAGGACTACAGTGGCTCAGCAACGTCCGGCGGATTATAATGAAAAGCTGGCGAACTTCCACTCCTACTGCAGCAAACACATCGCTGACAAACGCATCCAGCCAAGCCACATCACCAACATGGACGAGGTGCCGCTCACTTTCGACATCCCGGTGAATCACACGGTGGAGGAGATGGGGACCAGGACAATAGCGATACACACAAGGGGGTATGAAAAGGCGTTGTTTACTGTTGTGCTTGGCTGCGACGCAAATGGACAGAAACTGCCGCCTATGGTGATTTTTAAGAGAAAGACTTTGCCTAAAGAGACTTTTCCAGCTGGAGTCGTTATTAAGGCAAATGTAAAGGTGTTTTTTTCCACTCATCACCATCGCTGTTAATCTGTGACTCAATGCGTGCCCATCTCACAGCCGATGTGAAAAAAAAGGTGAAACAAATGAACGCTGTGCTTGCTGTTATTCCGGGAGCGCCGGGCAAGTTACGCCACAGTTTGCGGATGGATTGTAGATGCTTGGGCTAACGTGTCTGCTGGCACTGTTGTTCGAGCTTTCGTGGAGCCGCCCGGCACCGACAGTGACTCTGACAGCGAAGAAGGGGAAATTGGCATGTCTGATGCATGCAGCTGTTTAATTCAGAAACAGAGGATGATGACTTTGATGGGTTTGATTAATACTTTGTAATAAATACATGAATAAAGCACAAACATGCTCAGTTTTGCTCCCGCTCTATTATTAAATACGCAGTAGAGGTATTTAAACGTAGTAGAGGATATTTACCGGTATATAAAACCCGCGCCCTATAATCCGGTGCGCCTTATGTGTGTGTTAAATACAGTAATGGCACACATAACTGAGACTGCGCCTTTTAGTACAGTGCACCTTATGGTCGTGAAAATACGGTAAATGTAACAGGCACCATAATTCTTAATTCACACACAAACAAATGAGGGTGATTTAAAGCTCAGCCATGTCCTTGTTGCGGACAAGAAAAACCAGCATGTTAACTTTATGCGGTTTGAGAGGATCTGAGAGGGGTGACAACATTTCCAAAGACACTAAAAGCCCTCTCTGACGGTGCGCTCATTAGAGGAGCGACCGGAATGCAGGTTTCTCCACAGTGGAAAATGGCACCATCTCTTCAACCAGGTACAGTGTAACAGCGGCTGTTAGGTGTTTATGTCTGTCACTGTCTCTGTTGTACTTAGCGACTCGAGCAAAGGCTTCGCTGACTCCAAGCTGTCGACTGGCACCGACATGAGCCGCCGCGCGCCTCTGTGTGGCAGAAGGGCGTAACAGCTGGATGGTAGTTCGCTAAACGAGCCCCTAAATTTGTTGTTTCGACGTTTTACTTGAACCGTTTTGCTGCAGATTTTACAAATTGCTTCGTTTAAATTGTTCGGCTCCCCCTTTTCATTTGGTTGAAAACCGAAATGCTCCCAAAGGGACGAAGTAACATTTGGTTTTGATACCAGTGCAGCTGCCATTGTATCCTTCTCAACTGTTGTCCCAAGATGCAGTGATGGCGGTGGCTTCTTAATATTGCTATATGTCATTCGTGCGGTTACCGTGACAGCCCTACCTTCAAAGACTATGTCTCAGACATCAATTCGATCGGTTTGAGTCTTAAGCCACACATCATCTCCAAGTTTCACATCCCTATAAAGACAGCACTCAAAGGCTACCTTCAAACTACAGGCCTTGATGATTAACTCTGATTATTTTGTGTGGTAGTTCACATTTCCAAATAAATGCAACTTGTATATGATCTCCTGCAGCCCTAGATGATAAACTGCATATAAACCGTTCAGACTTTTAGCTGGGAATATTTCATAGGGTCTACAGCTTGGTGTCACATCTTTAGGCTTTGCGGAGTGTAGGGGGTCCGGGGTATCCTTCTCCAGAACATTTTGAAATTTAGACTCTCTGAAACACTATTTCCTGCATTTTGATGTGGAATGCAGCTAACTTGTTGTCTTTATTACAACACTACTTTGTCCTGATAATGGGAAGTATGTGTGCTTGAACAGAGGTGGAAATTTCATAAGGTAGACATGAGTTAATTTTTAGTTGCAATATTATGTTTAATAGGGTAATTCAAACAATCAAAGTGTAATTCTACATTCACACCACATCTTGCACAGCAAAAAAAGCATCTACTGCTTAATTTTTGATGCTTTTACACATTAAGGCTAGACGTGTGAAGTGCGTCCTGAAAAGTGTGTACTGATGCTTCTGCTGCTCCTGTGTTCAACGGCAAAGACTGGCTTTGCTATATATGCTGTCATAAGTGGGTCAAAAGTAGTTTTATTATGAAAAAAAAATTATCTGGTTAGCCAGTTCATCAAGATCTCGATCCTGCCATAATATATTATTTCGCTGTCGGAGCCCTTCAGACCCCCACATACCTGCTATGCGCTCACACTGGGAATCCAGCGACCGTTACCTCAGGTCCGGTCGCCTCTCTGTAAGCTTTTTCTGCTGGTTCCAATGACAACAGTGCTGATGCAGAGCGCTATGATCACTCCTCTGAAACTGTTTAATAACGACAAAATTAACTTAAAAGGTCAAAACCTGCTGGCAAAATATGTTCACTTTTATTATTCTGGTGCCTGCAGTTTTTACCACATAACTGAAAAACGCTAACATCTACTTCCAGGCGCTAAGAACGGGCATATGCGGTATGTGGGGGTCTAAGCGGCTCCGACACAAACAGTAGCCTGGATGAACTGACTGCACAGACAATGTTTTCAGGTGGACTTTCACGCATAAAAATATTTTAAAAATACCTCTTACCCACTGATCACAGCAAATATAGCAAAGACGCTCTCCATTGGGAGTGAGACTCACCCATTTCACACACTCTCACTCCATATTCCCAATTTCTCACACTAAAAGATGACAGACATTACAACTTAACTCCATTACATTTATGTATAAAAATATCATGGTGATAAAAAACCAGTCCGCATTTTTAATACAACCTTATTGCTAAACAGTGTTAGTTTCATCAACCATAAAGATGACGAAAATATTTCGTTAACGCCCCTTTTTCCCGTGACGATGACGAGATAACGCACAAAAATTGTTTCCAGAAAATAAAAATATGACCAAAATAAAAAATTATTTTCGTCAACGAGACTAAAACCAGACAAAATTTACGATCCATTGACGAATGGATATTAAGAAATGTAATTGTTTATAATTAATTTGTAATTGTTAATATAAGTGTTTCTTGAGCTTCATAGAAGATTACGCGTTGTTGCGCTGTTTGTCCCTACATGGCGCCTGTCCCCACGGTGGCTTGCAGCGCTCAGTCAGTGCTAGGAGAGGGCTCATACTCATAGCTCAACTTCGCAGTCATTGCGGATACCGGTGTGTGGTTTGTTAAACAACGCATGCATGTATGGAACCATTTCTAAAATTTGACTAAGACTAAAATTGATTTTCATCATTTAGACTAATACTAAAACTAAATCGGGAAGGCACTGACTAAATATGACTAAGACTAAAATGGATTTTTGGTCATTGTGACTAAGACTAAAAAGAAAAAGAACCATTGCATTTTACTTTTCTACGGAGCCCCCTACTGTAGGTGTCAGGGTAAAAAAAAAAAAAAAAGCCGGTGGAAATCCGTGGGCATGGATTGATAAACTGAGCGAACGGTTTTCCAATCCATTCGCCCAGATTAAGAAACTGTGCTCTCGGTTTATTGATCCGTGCACGCAGATCAATAAACTGTGTGTCCTGCTTTGCATTCCGTGCGCACACAGCTGCTCCGGAACCTTCAGAGTTCGATGCATGGGTCGCACCTACAAGGTAAGTTTAGTCAATTAATTGTTATGTATATATAAACATATAGACTTAGTGCAGTGCAATGTGTTAATGAGCATGCTTAAGAGCATGAACTTACATCGAACTCTGAAGGTGCTGGAGCAGCTGTGTGATTGATACTAGCGCACGGATCAATAAACCGAAAGCCCAGTTTCTTAATCTGCGTGCACGGATTGGAAAACCGTGCGCTCAGTTTATTCATTCGTGCCCACGGATTTCCAACGGCTTTTTTTTTTTTACCCTGACATAGGGTGACCAAACGTCCGTATTTCCCGGGACATATCCGTATTTCACGTCCTGTCCCGGGCGTCCCGGGTTTTTTTTAGAAAGTGAGGAAATGTCCTGATTTTTTAAATTACCTTAATTTAAATTTACAGGCACTAGGGCACTGCGCACGACGCTGCGTGTAACGTAATCCCTGAGCCGCGTCAGTGCGGGCAGCCCTGTTCTTAATCAGAATATAGACGGCAACAACATGCAAAAGCGCAAATGTATGTTTACCAACGATTTACAAAAGAGTTTCCCCACTTTCAGGCCGGGTCGAGACAAATGGGAGGCCTTGTGCACAGTGTGCAAAGCAGGCACAGATGTCTCGGTGTCCAATGGAGGTTCAAGGAATCTGAAAAGCCACCTGGACTCCGGAAGTAAAAATAGTCTATTGATATGTTTGTTCGTTTTTGGTACATTTTGAATAATTTTTGCTACACAAGAGGTATTTTTTGTTAATTAGTAAATTTGTTAATTTATTTTTTCCAATAGCCTACAGAACAGACATTATTTCGTTCATTACTGAGGCTGAGTATCATCTGTTATTGGGAGTTGAGAGTTATTGTTAACTTTTATTGTTAAGTGACGGATGTTTAGATGAGACATTATTTCTTTCATTGTGATTTTCATTCATTACAGCAATTGTTAAGCATTTTTAATAAATACATTTTGAATGAAATTATCATTTGTTATTGCTGTTGACTTTTACTGAAAAGCATTTTTAATAAATCAACTGTAAATATCATGTTATTGTAGGATTACGTAGGTCTATGTTAAGTGAGTGCATGCCACAGACATCGCTATGCATGAGAACAGAGATCCCCCCCGCTCCAAGGTGTCCTGGTTTTCCCAAATGAAAATATGGTCACCCTACCTGATACCCAGAGGGCTCCGTACTTTTCAAAAGATCAGCCACCATAGAAAAGACCAACCACATACAGAGAGGATGTGCAGAACAACTCAGTTATCCATAATTCATAGAGAAGAAACCACAAGGATGGTCTCATTTTAATAATACTTTTCTTATTAATATATCCTTATTTTGGTCCATTGAATATATTAATTTGATTTCCATCACAAGTGCCGTCTTGTACCATGGTGATTTTTTATAGAATCTACAGCCTCCTAGAAGGTCTCAGTTGATTAGCTGTTTTGTCAATTGTAAGAAGAACTAATAACATAATGAATTAAGCTTTTTAAACTTTAGCCTATTAGCAAATATTCATACACAGTGAAGTTTGCATGGGATTCGATTGCACTGGTTCCTGTATCAGTGCCAGTAATCCAGTGATAACTTATTAGTTTACCATTGTTTATTTTACTTAAACTGCAGAGAATAATTAATAAACAATGTTGTGAAATTCTCAGTTTACAGTATATTTAATATGCAAGGATTTAAGTAGGGCCCATTCTTCTTTACTTCAATTCTCCAAAAATCACCAGAATATAGAAACTAATATATATTGTAAGAAAAACTTTCCACATAACTAGAGATCAATTATTGTTACTCAGTAATATTTATTGTGCTTTAAAAAAAACTCACATTCTGACACTTCGTTTCAGTTAAATCCTCTGAAAACCTCCAACCTATAGCTGCACCTGTCCTCTTAGTCTTTTGATCGAATCCTGACAGGGTTTCCTGTCCAAACTATTTCAAAATCTCACCCCAAGGTTAAAAGTTGCATTTTGATGTATTTGTACCCATCCCTGCCGCCACTCCCCTTTCAGTTGCTCGTTTATTCAGACCACCGTGTGGTTCACTAACCTGCAGCTGATGTCCAGCAGTCTGAGCTGGTGCCTCTAGTCGATGTTTTTTAATATTTCTGCAGCAGAGGGTTTTCTGTCTCTGATGTTTCTGCAGAATCAGAAACATTCATCTCACAGAGACAGAGTCCTTTACCAGACGACGATAAAACAAGAGGAAACGCAGAAGCTAGCGCTGCTAGCACCTCCTCAGTGTTTACTTCCGCCAGTTGTCTCATTCTAAGCTCACCGTCAGAAACAGTAGCGGCGCTTTAAGTTCCCCCTCCAGCTCACTGATCTCTATTATTATTCACTACTGCGTTGGTTGTATGGGGTTCAAGTGAAGCCAGCGGCCACCATATTGGTACTCCCTAGTTAGACCGGTCGCAGTATAAACCATGCGCGCGCTATAGCATCGAAAAAAGATGATGTTCTCATTTTCAGGGCGACTTAAGACGTTTAAAATAAAGATATATTCACCACTTTGACACACTTGCTGTTTCGTAGAATAAGTAGGTAACTTTAACTTATGAGGGAAAAAAATAGGCACATCCAGTTTGAATTCAATGAAGTCTCTTAATCATGTAATATAACATATTATACAAATCCATCACAATAAAATTAATGTGTAGCACAATAATACAGATAAATTGATTATGTACATGTAATAAACATGTATTTATTACATTGTTACAGTTATTACATCTTATATGTCTGATAATGCATGCTATAAAACTATTCCTCACCCATCGCGGGTGGTCTCCCCTCTTTTTTCCTCCAAGCACCACTGATGCCTTCAACTTCCAGGGTTTCTCCAGCTCTTCTCTGAGCCCCTGGTATTTCTCTAGTTTTTCATGTTCTTTTTTCCTGATGTTGCAGCCACTTGGTATTGCTATGTCAACCACAACCACTTTACTCTCCATTTTGTCCACCACCACAATGTCCTGTTGGTTTGCCATTACCATTCAGTCTGTCTGTATCTGGAGGTCCCACAGGATCTTGGCTTGATCATTCTCTACCATCTTTGGAGGTGTTTCCCACATTGACCTTGGGGTTTCCAGCCCAAACTCTGCACAGATGTTCCTGTACACTATTCCAGCCACTTGGTTATGGCGCTCCATGAAAGCTTTCCCGGCCTCTTACAACCTGCAGTTACTGGATTGTCTCAGGGGCCTCGTGTATATATATATATATATATATATATATATATATATATATATATATATATATATATATATATATATATATATATATATACATATACACACACACAATTTTTTAGTTGCTTATTCCATCAATATAACATGCAATATAATTCAGCACATAACTTTCAAATGAGAAATACAAAAAACAGTACAACAATGAGAGCGTCATCCACTTAATTACTACATAGACATTTTACAGTGATTACTTTCTATTTACTTTACCTTCTATTTTCTTCATAATGTCAATGGCTAATGTAATCAATGTCTTTGAGTCAGTCCGAGATAGGCAGACTAATGTTGCACTACATACTATACTGTAGGATACATCAGCTTATATATCGATTTTCTTGGTAAGTAGATCCACTGACTGTGAAATTACCAGTGAAACATCTTCCCACAGCTGGTAAACTGCTAGTTTTTTCTGCAAAATTCTACACATTTTTACTCTGTGTCTCCATGGGAGTGGGGGATACCAGTATGGTAGACGGAGGCTTAATTTTTTTCGGGGACTCAGCAATCCAGTGAATGAATACAGTTTAGTGATCTAACTTCACACATTAGTTTTCTCAAAGAAAACTTTATTTAACTACTGTACATAACGTCAGGTACCAGTACAGAAAGGCATAAACAGCATTCACAGAAAGTGTATAATGCGTATGCTAATATAGAAAAAAACCAAAGATAAAAGAGGGAAAATTAATAAAACAATAATAATAAATGTTTAACATTGTATTATACATAAAATCAAGAACAGAGCATCAAACCAGCAGATTAAATGTACTCACAAAAGCAAGAAAATTACCAGAACATTTGGTTCTTATATATTCTAAAGATTTTTGCATGGACAAGATTATGGGTATGTGGAGTTGGAGAAAACAGATATGCCTCACTAATGAGTATATGAGCTCTGATTGGCTTCTTGTACCAGAAACAAATGCAAACTGGAAATACAGTCTTCTAAAAAAAAAAGTAATCTAACTGTGATCTGTCAATGACTGATCCCCCACTAAATTGACTCTCTTCCTTGAGTGAGTTCTCATGTGCCGAACCAAATCACTCCTCTGTATGAAGGATTTTTTGCACATTCCACAGTGGTATGTCTTCTCCCCGGTGTGGGTTTTCATGTGTCTGGCCATACTACTAAATTCACTGAAAAATTTACCACACACCTCACATGACGACAACCGCTCACGGGTGTGAGATTTTAGGTGACGCTTCAAATAACTGCTCTGTCTAAAAGCCTTGTCACAAAAATCACAATTGTATGGTTTCTCTCCTGTATGAATTTTCATGTGCATAGTCAACTTATAGTGTTGTTTAAAACCTTTTCCACAGGTCAAACAGGAGAAAGGCTTCTCCCCTGTGTGAGAGAATAAATGGCAGACCAAATCGCTGCGCTTTCTAAAACATTTATTACACATATGACAGTGATGTGGTTTCTCACCTGTGTGAGTTTTCATGTGACGTGCCAAATCACTTCTCTGTCTGAAAGATTTCTCACATTGTTGACAGGGATAAGGTTTTTCCCCTGTGTGGGTTCTCACATGATACTGAAGAGTGGTTTTCTGGATAAAACTTTTACCGCAGACAGGACATGGGAAGGGTCTCTCTAAGGCGTGAGTTCTGCTGTGGGCTGTTAGGTCAGGCTGCCTGGGGAAACCTTTCCCACAAGTCAGACATAAAAATGGTTTCTCACGTGCATGAGTTTTCATGTGAGATATCAAGTCCCTGTACCGAGTAAAATATTGACCACACACTTCACAAGTAGTCAGCTGGATTTTATCACCTTCTTGTTCTGAGTGCTCCACATTGTTTCTGTTGTGGCTCCTGCTGTCCTGATATCTCCTTTCAAGATGCTGATCTCCAGCTCTACTTGATCTGGAGTCATTCTGGTTGCTGACTTGTTGACATCTCCTCTCATTTTCATTCTGAACTCTGCAAAATTCCTCCTGCTCTTCTTTAATCTGTCCAGGTTCTGGTTCTTCTTTAATCCGTCCAGGTTCTGGATCTTCTTTGATCCATCCAGGTTCTGGTCCATCTTTAATTTGTCGACATTCTGGGTCACCTTTAATCTGTCCAGGTTCTGGTTCTTCTTTAATCTGTCCATGTTCTGGTTCTTCTTTAATCTGTCCATGTTCTGGTTCTTCTTTAATCCATCCAGGTTCTGGCTCTTCTTTCATCTGTCTAGGTTCTGGTTCTTCTTTAATACGTCCATGTTCTGGTTCTTCTTTAATATCTCCAGGTTCTGGTCCTTCTGTAATATGTCCAGGTTCTGGTAAACTGCGGAGCAATTTCTCATGGGTCTCCATCTGGACCAGAAGCTGCCCCTCATCTTTTAAAACCCATAGTTCCATCAGCTCTTCCTTGATTGGCTGAGCTTCTGATCCAATGGTTGCTTCTGTTATCTGCTGCGGTTCTGGTTCCAATTTGATCCATTCAGGTTCCGGTTCTTTTGGTCCGTCCCTCTCCGTGACCTTCAGCAGTTCTGGTTTTAGTTTCATTTCTGTGGTATTCTGCTTTATTCTGATTGAGAACGAAGGTCCAGCCTTTTACAAGGAAGGGCTAAGCCAGAACCTGCAAGGAGAGAAGGAGAGATGATGCCATGTAAAGCTTTTTGGGAACAGGGAACACTGGAACAGGATTCCTATCTAACGTGAGCTGAAGACCATCTGCTACTGGGATAGGGAGGAGTTTTTTCAGTGGTTTATAACACATACATAGAAAAAAAACAAAACATATAACAAAAGATAGCTCCATAACCTTCGTTTAAACCATCACCCCAATTTCAAGCATATTGAAGAATGACACATTGTATGGTTGAAAAGTTGTGCAAAGTAATGACGTGTTATTTGCTGAGAAATTAGCAAAATTAGGCTACGTTTACACTGCAGGCCTTGATGCTCAATTACGATTTTTTTGTGAAATACGATTTTTTTTTGCATTGATATTTATATTTCCAAATATATACGACTTGTATATGATCTCCTGTGTAAACTGCAGTCATACAACGCAAGTGTCTCGCATGCGCAGTAGAGGACACAATGACTTCACAGGCCAACGTGCTCTTTTTTTCCGGAAGTAAACATGGCTGCTAGTGCCGCGCACATCTAGCGGTCTTTTCCAACCATAAAAACACAATCTTTTCAATATGTGTAGACATAATACTGCTCTCCGCATCATCTGCCATAGTTGTTGTTTTTCTTGCCACTTCTGCGTAGCAAGACGCAGAATAGTAACCTTTGTTGGGTATTAATGAAACGGATAAATCCGACCTGGCCGTTCAGACACAGGTCGCATTTGAAAAAATCAGATTCATATCGGATTCAGGACCACAGAGCCAAGTTGCCTGGGTTGCATTGGGAAAAAAATCGATCTGTGTTGTTCAGACAGCCATGAAAAGATCAGATCTAGGTTGCATACGGGCAAAAAAATCGGATTTGGGTTGCTTCAGGCTGCAGCCTTAGTGAAATTAGTGAATGAACAATGTGCTCACTGTTCTTGATTATATGCTCTGTTCAGGTCTCTGATTATATGTCCTGTTTGCGTCTTTGATCATATGTCCGATGCAAGTACTTTGAACATTTACTTTAAAAATGAAGAAATACAACTTAGGATATTACAATAGAAAGGTTCCAAGAGTTTGTATCATATAGTACAGTGATTCAACAGCTCTGTACATTTTTAAACTACAAGCAGTGAATGTGAATGATTATGATCTATTTTGTGACCTAATAAACAGTTTTACTTTATTTTATTATGAAATGATCACCTGACTCCAGTTCGTCTATGTAACTGACTTGAGTGGGCAAATGCTCACATTCAATGGAGTCTGGCAGGTTGGAAAGGTATTCTCTTCATGGATATATCCCAGTTTACACTGTTCAGGGCAAATGGGAGACAGTGTGTGTGGTGCCATGTGGATGAGCAGTTTTCTAATGTCAATGTTGTGGATCGAGTGGCCCATGGTGGCTGTGGGTTATGCGGTTGGCAGGCGTCTGTTATGGATGAAGAACACAGATGCAATTTATTGATGGTATTTTGAATGCAAATAGATACCATGACAAGATCCTGAGGCCCATTGTTGTGCCATACATCCAAAAACATCACCTCATGTTGCAGCAGAATAATGCACGGCCCCATGTTGTGTGGATCTGGACACAATTCTTGAAAGCCGAAAAAATCCCAGTTCTTGCATGTCCGGCACGCTCACAGGAAACGTAAGCCATTGAGCATGTTTGGGATAAGCGTATACAACAGGTTGTACCAGTTTCTGACAATATCCAGCAACTTCGCACAGCCATTGTTTTAGTCAGCACCCCATCAGTAAAACAAAACTGCACCTTCAGAGTGGCCTTTTATTGTGGGCAGTCTAAGCCACACCTATGCACTAATCATGGTATCTAATCAGCATCTTGAGAATTGCTCACTATCAAAGATTTAGACTCTTTGGAAACAACTTTTGAGGTAAACAGTTATACTGCGTACGTGGAAAAAGTTTCAGATCTTTGAGTTAATCTTCTGAAAATGGGAGCAAATCCAAAAGTGTTCCGTTTATATTTTTGTTGAGTTTATTTTGGTGAGTCTCCCCTCTGTCCCTTTGTTTCTCTGCTGTTTGTTCCTCACTAGTAGATAACTTTCAGTCTAAAGTCTCAGACATCATTAGCTGCATTGCTCCAATTAAAGTGAAAGTCTTTTCCGGTAAGAAAAAATCTCCTTGGAGAAGTGCTCCAGCAGTTAGAAGTGAAAAAAGGGAGTGTCGTAAAGCTGAACGCAGGTGGAGAAAGACGAAACTCCAGGTTCACTATGACATCTATAAAGAGAGACTTTACAGATATAGCTTACAACTGAAAAATGCAAGAGAATCTTTCTTCTCTGAAATCATTAACAAGAACATTAATAATACTCGCGCTTTATTTGCCACAGTCAACAAGCTAACAAATCCTCCTGTGTCCGTGGCTCCTGAACTCCACTCCACCCGGGCCTGCAATGAATTTGCTAATTTCTTTACTGAGAAAATCCTAAAGATCAGAGGATCAGTTTGTACATCCATATCAAGTTCAGTACCAAAGTTGTCTCCAACTGGAATTGATCTTGGCCAAATGTCCAAATTCAGCCAAATAAACTATAAAAGCTTAGAGGAAATCATTCAGCAGCTAAGTTCCTCCTCCTGCTGCCTTGATGTTCTACCTACAGCTTTCTTTAAGAAAGTTTTGCCTGTCATAGCATCTGATTTGACACAGATAATAAACACGTCCCTTCTGTCAGGTGTTTTCCCGCAGTCCCTAAAAACAGCAAATATTAAACCACTGCTGAAAAAGAACAGTTTAGACAAACTACTACTCCAGAACTACAGGCCCATATCAAACCTCCCCTTTATCAGTAAGATTATTGAAAAAGCAGTGTTTCAACAGTTAAACACTTTCTTAGATATGACCAGCCGCTTTGACGTGTTCCAGTCAGGTTTCCGTGCTCACCACAGTACAGAGACTGCCCTTATCAAGGTGTTTAATGACATCCGTATAAATACAGACTGCGGAAGAACCACAGTCGGCCTCTCTGGTACAGCTCTCAACTGGTTTAAATCCTACTTAAAGGACAGGGACTTTTTTGTGTGAGTAGGCAACTTTACATCAGAGATGACAAAAATCACATGTGGGGTTCCCCAAGGGTCCATTCTGGGTCCCCTCCTATTCAATATCTACATGCTCCCTCTTGCTCAGTTAATTAAAAACAACAACATCAGCTACCATAACTATGCAGACGACACACAGCTTTACATCACCATGTCACCAGGTGACTATGAACCAATTCAAGCACTGAGGAAATGCTTAGAAGAAATCAATGCCTGGATGTGCCATAATTTTCTTCAACTGAATAAAAACAAAACTGAAGTAATAATCTTTGGACCAATAGAGGAGAGATCTAAAGTTAGCACACAGCTTCAGTCGCTTCAGCTAGTAACCACTGATCAGGCCCGAAGTCTAGGTGTAGTGCTGGATTCAGACTTGAACCTCCAAAAGCATTTAAAGACAATTACAAGGTCGGCTTTCTATCACCTGAAGAACATTTCCAGGATTAAAGGACTAATGTCTCAGCATGATCTGGAAAAACTAATCCATGCGTTTATTTTTAGTCGAATTGATTACTGCAACGGTGTTTTCACAGGTCTGCCTAAAAAGTGGATCAGACAGCTGCAGCTGATCCAGAACGCTGCTGCCCGTGTCCTCACTAAGACTAAGAAAGTAGAGCACATCACCCCAGTTCTAAAGTCCTTACACTGGCTCCCTGTATCTCAGAGAATAGACTTTAAAATACTTCTGTTAGTCTATAAATCTCTGAATGGCTTAGCACCTAAATACATCACAGACTTGCTATCAGTGTATCAACCCTCCAGACCACTCAGGTCTTCTGGCTCCAGCCTGCTCTGCATACCTAGAACCAGAACTAAACATGGAGAAGCAGCATTTAGTTCCTATGCTCCACTTATCTGGAACAAACTTCCAGAAAACTGTAAAAGTGCGGAAAGCCTGAGTTCCTTTAAATCAAGACTAAAAACACATTTGTTTAGGATTGCCTTCGACTGTTCCAGTTAAACAATTCAACAAAAACATGTTTTCTTTAATCCAACTGTTTTTAATATTCTTTTTTTGTTTCTGCATTTTTTATTTTATTTTATTTGTTTTTTATTTTTTCCTACTTGCTTTGATTCAATGTTTTATCTTCCTGTATTTTAATCATGTAAAGCACTTTGCATTGTCTTTGTACTGAATTGTGCTATACAAATAAATTTGCCTTGCCTTGCCTTGCCTCACAAGCTGACAGACAGATGCGCGTGTTTCGGGGTTAGCATGACATGTTGGTCGTGTTGCTGTTAGCATAAACAAAATGTGTTGCACAATGCTTGCACACTGTTGCAATTTTATCCACAACTTTCTTTCCGCCTTCATCGTAGGTCACTCTAAATGCAAAGCGGTCCCATACAGCAGACCTATAAAGTGCTGCTGGCGTGTCTTCCAACTCCTGTTCTTTCCCACTCGCCATACCCACACAATTCTCCACAACAACTGATTTTTTTCTGCTACACCCGGCTACGCTGCTTCGCTTCTTCTTCTTCTTGTTTACTACTGGTGGTTGGTTTTGGCCGCAGTACCGCCACCTTCTGCTCTGGAGTCTAATCGCTTCGCCTATGAGGAAAAGGAGCAGCGCATGAACCGAACGCAACACACGCGAACCGAACCGAGACAGTCGAACCGAACGGTTCTGACGGTTTTCATAAACCGTTCCATCCCTACTGTGTAGCAAATACGGCAAAGAAAACAAACATGATTACTCTGTGGGTGGCTGTCAGTCTATGGAATCTGGAGAGCATCTGTGAACATAGACACAGTAAAAGAAACATTGACTGGATGTCCATTTCTCAGGCTCAATAGAAACAACCCATCACACAGCAGCTGGAGGAGACGCTGATGGATATATGAACACAAACACACAAAGATGAAAATATTGTTCTGCACTGCCCATGCTACAGGAGGAAAGGCTGCTCTTTTAGTTATGGACAATATAGATATTGAAAATACTTTATTGTTATTAACACTTAATATTTCAGACCTGTTTCAGATCTTCAGGCCCACTATGAATGTATTAAATGACCCATTTCTACAGAGGTTAAAAAAGCAGTTTTTATAGTGCCCCATAGTTACCACATTTAATTATATTCTACATATTTGCTGGTGCTCCAATGGAAGAAAATCAAAGGAAAATATATGAAAGAAAAAAAAGGAATTGTTCATACCGTATTTTCATGACCATAAGGCGCACTGTACTAAAAGGCGCAGTCTCAGTTATGTGTGCCATTTCTGTATTTAACACACACATAAGGCGCATCGGACTATAGGGCGCGGGTTTTATATACCGGTACATATCCTCTACTACGTTTAAATACCTCTACTGCGTATTTAAAAATAGAGCGGGAGCAAAACTGAGTATGTTTGTGCTTTATTCATGTATTTATTACAAAGTATTAATCAAACCTGGAAGCTAGCCGCGAGAGACACATCGCTGATGACACAGAGCGCTGTGATCACTCCTCTGAAACAGTTTATTGACGCATAAATTACCTTAAAATGCAGAAATCTGCTGGCAGAATATGTCCACTTTTATTATCCTGGTGCCTGCAGTTTAGATTATTTAGATGAGAAACACCTACTAGCCGCCGCGGTGAACCGCGAGGAGGTGACCCGGCCAGAGGCTGCTGTTGAATGGTATTCCTACTGACAGCGCACCGCTGTATGTGGGGGTCTAAGCGGCTCCGACAGAAATAACATTGGAAGGCAGGATGCTAATCTGAATGATCTGACTGCAATAATTAAGTTTTCAGGTGGATTTTCTCACTTAAAAACATATTAAAACTACTTTATTCCCACTGATCACAGCAAATATAGCTGCAAGGCAAAGAAAGGATAGAGTAGCTCCGCCCAACGCGCGTCAGACACACTTTTGCACCGCGCAGCAGGAGCAGCAAAGCTGCTTCAGCCGCAAGTCAGAACTAAAATGGTACAAACAGCAAAAATGAAGCAGCAGACGCGTGAACGTAGCATTACTTTGAACGGCCGGTTCACACTGATGTTGAGCGGTTGAAGTTCCTTTGTCAAACCTCCCGGAATAACAGCAAGCACAGCGTTCATTTGTTTCACCATGTTTTTCACATCAGCTGTGAGATGGGCACGCATGGAGTCACAGATTAACAGTGATGGTGATGCTTGGAAAAAAACCACCTGGTCTCCTTACATACACCTCCCTCAGCCACTCTTTCATCATCTCCTCAATGAGGAGATGAGGAGTTCTGCGTAAAGCACATACCTGTTCTTTTATACACAATCCACGCCCACACTTCCCCCTTTAACGTTCTCATGGTGGTCTTAACAACATCCGCAGTAACAACACACATAGGGCACACCACACTATAGGGCTCGCCGCACATTTTGAGAGAAAAAAAGACGTTTATATGCGCCTTATAGTCGTGAAAATACGGTACTTCTATAGAAACAGATTTTCAAACTGAAACATATATGTCTGGTTGATCTGTAGAGTGCCTTGAGATGACTTGTGTTGGAAAAGAGGAAATGGGCCAATTCAGAAGCTAGAGTTTTGACTGATAACCAATCATATAAAAAGAGAAAACGGCCTTAATTTTCTCTTCTGCAGTGGGGTTGGGGGGGTTTATGGTAACTTTCATCGTTATGATAAATTTCAATGATATATGATAGCGGAAAGACTGCACAGTGTCAATTGTGGAGTCACAGAGGGTGATGGCGATAGCTGGGGCTGAGTTCTTCCTGGGAACTATCATCTCATGGACCTAAAGTGGGAGCTGAACATCAACTCCCTCACCAAGAAAGCCCCGCAGAGGATGTACTTCCTGCGGCAGCTGAAAATATTCAGCTTGCCAAGGACAATGACGGCGCACTTCTCCTCCATCACTGAGTCCATCCTCACCTCCTCCATCACCATCTGGTATGCTGGTGCTACCGCCAAGGACAATGGCAGACTGCAGCGTGTTATCTGGTCTG